GTGAGGTCTTCAGAGGAAAGAATAAGCCTTCTGGGAGGATGCCCTAATAAGCAAAAAGGTGCATTTATACATGGAACATAGCTTATTAATGTGGATACCATACAACTGTGGTGTTTGTTTGTTTTTTACGAACTGCTTCTTAGCTGTTCCAGCATTTGTAGTTTTTCAGTATCCAGTTGCCAGAGAGCTTGTGCCCTTAGGTAGACCCAAGTAAAGAATAGGAAAAAAGCAAAAGCCAAGAAGAAAGTAGGTTTGGTGCTCAGCCTTATTGGTGGAATGTAAGTGGGCAAACAAAAGATTAGAAGACCAGAAACTGGTAGCTACAAACCAAGATAATATTAAGTCTGCTATAGGATTTGATCCGTTCAGTGCTGTAAGTTGTTGTTACAGCAGTAGATCTAGAAACACAACTAGGGCTAGAAAGCAGGGCAGGCTAGAAATACACATTTCAATGTAAATAAAGATCTTAAATTCTTTAGCTGAAGGATTCTGAACAAAAGATAGATTTTAAGACATTTGTTTATCAAGTAATGTTGGGAGTGAATCTCAGTAAAGGCTGGCTACTGGGAAAGGACATAAGACCTTGCTTCACCACTCCCAGTGGCGACAGGGGTCATAGTCAAATAGGGGTGGTGGTTTCCCTCCCTGACTCTTTCTCTCTGCATGCATGCCTTCTTTCTGTTTGTCCTGCATGAATTAAGTGTTGTAGCTTAATAAATTGGTTTCACTCCATTGTATGCTGACATACACCCACTGCCATTCTGCATGTTCACTGAAATTCCAATTACATGGGCCAGCCTTTTAGGACAGTTGGAGATGGGTGTGCTTATAGCTTCTGGGAAACACACACACATTTACAGGCATAGTGAAGATATGATAACTAGGTTCCTTTTGGAATAGACAATAGGGCTATATACATGTAGAGTTTTGACTGCAAGATCTGATGTTTTATAATGTCCACTATATAATTTGCATCACAGCATCTCAGTATTTTGTTTTGTAATTACAAAGCAGAGTGAACTGCATGTTCAGTATATGTTGAGCACTCACACTACTCTCTTGGCATGTGTGGTGTCTGAGTCTTTTTCTTTTTTGTGATGCTTTATTGGAAACGTACTGTATGAGAGGCTCTATAGCTAAGCTAACACCTCGTGGCAGGTGTTTGTGCAGCTGCATTCACTTTCTGTGATGTGTGTTGCATTCATACCCCAGACTACCAATCACAGTGTTGTTCAATGTGTTTAATCAAATCACAGCAAGGCCACATAGTAGTACTCTCTGGATTTGTTAAACTTAATCAGGCTCCCCTTTTAAACTCATTAGGATATGTAGACTGAGATGTCAAAGTCTAGTACCTGTGGAGTTAATCTGGAAACAATCAAAACGAATTAACTGGAAGTATCCACCGTAGGGCAAAACCGTAGGTTTCTGAGCCAAGGCCTTTTGCCCAAGGATAGCTTCATTTCATTTACTGCAAAGAACATCTTTGTTTACTGTTTTCTGTGTTAGTTCATTTTCCATGGATCAATTTTAGAAAGAACTCAAAGTCCTCAATAGTTTAGCTATCACAAATAGATGCGCACTATTATATTGGCCCAGCCCTGAAGAGATCTCAGAAATTGCAGTGCATACTCTTCAGGACTTTGGGCACCTGTAGTTCTCTAAAGCTGTGGCACTTCTTAACTAGGAAAAAGCCACACTACAGAGTATTCCCTATATCCCAGAAGCTTATATGCCAATTCCTTTGAGGGAGACACATAAAATGCATCTTGGTGAACCCAACAGAAATATATTATTTCCTATATTGCTGCAAGCAAAAAAATTGTTCTTCTCACCGCAATCGACATGATAGCAGTAATTCCTTCAGAATCTTGGGATGTGGCCCACCACCTGTTGGATGCAAAGGCCAGATGCATTTTCAGGCCAGAATGTTTTAGATATCATTTCAAGTCTCTGGTCATTCCTCAAATGTCCTTCTCTTCCTTACTGGCACGTGTCTTGCTTTCCCTTCTCCCCAGATTTGTGTGTGCAGAACATGTGTGGTATGAAGCCACACAATAATGTTCTACCTGCTTGTGTCAAAAGAACAAAAAACAAGACAAAACAAATCAGTGCATTTGGTTGTGGGTAATTAGCAAAAACTCCTCTGTTGATAGAAGTATTGATATCCCAAGTGGATGATTTTCCATGGGGCAGGGTAGCCTTATCATCATGCTTATCATGCTAATTATTTCCATGTGAGCGATCCCTTTTATTGATATTCAGTCACCCTTACTGATCTTACTAACCATTGTGGGGTTGGATTGTGTTGCTTTCTTGCTAATTCCCTGGGGTCCTCTGTCCCATCATCCCCACCCTGTCCTGCTCATGCCATTTTGCTTTCATTTCCCCAGAACAACTTCATCAACCTGAGTTTCCTTAGGCTGTTCCGAGCAGCCCGCCTCATTAAGTTGCTTCGACAAGGCTACACCATCCGCATCCTGCTCTGGACCTTTGTCCAGTCCTTTAAGGTAATGATCAAGAGCATTGAATTAATCAGCCTGGGAGTCTTGTGGGCTTAACATTTGGTGGGAGAGAAGACCAGAATACTACGAATATTTAGGAAGTAATGCCTAGAGATATCCATTCCCATCGGTCCACCTCTCTGTTTCTTTACTACTTATTTTGTGTTTGATCTAATAAAGGTAGTTAATCTAGTATACAAGGAGACATATTACCAGTAAAATAAAGTATGGTTGCATTAACAATATGAAGTTTTGACAATCTACACATATGTTTTCCCCCTCACTAGGCCCTTCCGTATGTGTGTCTGCTGATTGCAATGCTGTTTTTCATCTATGCCATTATTGGAATGCAGGTTAGTATAAGAAAACCATGCCATATTGGGTCTTCCCATGCATAATACATTGCCTCTTGTTTGGCAGAGGATCAGTAACACCATTGGTTATGTCTTGTTGCCTTTGTGTTTTAGGAGATTAGGAAAGCCCCTACCCTAGAAACCTTTGAAAAGAACCTCAAAACCTGGCTCTTCCGCTGCGCATTTGATGAGTAGATCTACCGTAGATCTAGTGTTTAGTTTAACGGTTTTTGTTATTGGAGTGCATTCCCCCCATAGGAAAGTTTTGCTCCACGACCTCCACTAAAACGAGCTCTCCTTCGCAAATAATCTGTCCTTGTTTATCTCATATTTATCTCGCCTGAGTTTCTACCCAATTTTCTTTTATCCATTACATGTAGCTCGCCCATGTTTACCGTGATTGTGTTTATTGTGTTTATTGTAATTTTATATTGCTATGTTGTCCTTTGTTTTATGTAATTGCGTTATTATTGTTTATTATTTGCATCTTCGGTTTTGTTTTATTTCATGTAATTGTTGTTTTGGGCTTGGCCTCATGTAAGCTGCACCGAGTCCCCATCAGGGAGATGGAGCGGGGTACAAATAAAGATTATTATTATTATTATTATTATTATTATTATTATTATTATTAGTGTTTTGTGGATTAGTACAGCAGAAGACTTTCCCCAAGCGATATGCCTTACAGTACATGGGTGGAGAACACATTAAAAGAACAGTGTCATCATCACCCTTTTTCCTACAACATGCTTGAGGTCTCCATGGCCTCCATCTTAGTGATATCTAACAATATTGTTGGCTATGAAAATGGCTTCCAATATAGTGTCAGTGTTGTTGATGGAGGAGATTGCCTTCCTGTGTGAGTGAGAGAGTGCCTTGTCTCCCTTCAGTGGATTTGGCCCCAGAGCTGCTTATAGTTTGTGAGGGAAGGCATTTCTCTGCCAACATACACTGATCAGGGGCATTAGAAGACTTTTTGGAAGCTGTCACCATTGGAATAGATTCCAATTACATTACATTCAAACCATAAGAATCCAGGATAGTTTGAAAATGTTCATGATCACAGAGAACTCAGTATGGGAGAAGTTATTAGATTAAACTGGATGCAAATAAAAGAGAGCTTGGAGTGTTCCCCCACTAACAGTTAGGAGCTAAATTGAATTTAAAAACTCCATGACTGCGTCTATAGTATAGAGCAGTGGTTCTCAACCTGGGGTCCCCAGATGTTTTTGGCCTTCAACTCCCAGAAATCCTAACAGCTGGTAAACTGACTGGCATTTCTGGGAGTTGTAGGCAAAAAACATCTGGGGACCCCAGGTTGAGAACCACTGATATAGAGTTACAGGAATTTGATGCCATTTTAGCTGTCATGGCTCCATCCTGTGGAATCCTAAGATTTTTATTTTAACAAAATATTTAGAATTCTCTTCTAATGGGTTCTTGTCTATTCTTCCCTACAATACAGAGAATTTTATCAGAGAGTCCAAGGTTCTGTACCGTGTTAAAATAGTATCTAGCCACAGTAACTGTATGCTGTAGCTACAGAATTAGTCCCAACATGGAAAATTTACCTTTCATTTTCCAAGACGTCTGCAAACATGTAAAGAAAGCCCATCAAGCCTTCTTTACAATAGGTCATGTAATACCTAATATTAAACGCATTGGCTCTTCCATTGCTCGATGACAGCTTTGGAAAACCTAGTCTTTTCTGATTTTTTTTTAAAAAATTTTGCACTCAAATGCATTTTTGTTCATTTTGTGTCTTATCTTTTTTTCTCTCTCTCTAGGTGTTTGGTAACATTAGTATTGATTTTGATGAGGATATGCCTGATGATGATAAGCCTGCTATCACAGAACACAACAATTTTCGCACATTTTTTCAGGCCCTGATGCTTCTTTTTAGGTGAGCCTTTATATAGGTTAGCTTGTCTGTCTGTCTGTCTGTCTGTCTCACTAAGAAGCTTACCTTGGTCCTGCTGCAGTTAAAAGTCCGATTTTTCATAGCAAAGCTGCTGCCATTGTGAAAGGTAACCTGGCCTTCTAAGTCTACAGCAGCAGCTTTACTTCAATGAGACTGTCTCTATTTCCACAATGGACTGGAGACTGCAATGAGTCCCCTTGTGGGGAGAAGGGCGGAGTAGAAATATATGAAATAAATAAGTAAATGTAAATAACTTCTTATGAATGAAGTTATTGAATGAGTACATGATGAGAAAAACTTGCTTCACTAAGCTTTTGGAACACAGTCAAGAGATCTTTATGTAATCCATGTTCTGTTCTGGAAATGGCTATTTCACTGCCATATGAGTCCAAAGATTTTCAGGCCTTCGATTGCTTACTAGTAGAGCAGCATCTTCTGCAATGGAGGAACTGTCACCTTGGTTGTGATAGGCCCCGAGCATTTACTGTTTCTTCTTTCTTCTTCCTATCCTAGGAGTGCCACTGGTGAGGCTTGGCATGAAATCATGCTTTCCTGCCTGGCTGGGAGGCCCTGTGATGTGAAAGCAGATCTTGATGGCAATGAGTGTGGCAATGAGTTTGCATACTTCTACTTTGTTTCTTTCATCTTCCTATGTTCTTTCCTGGTGAGTCAAAGGATTTAAGAGGAATAAAATGGAGTTGGGAACTGGAGAGTAATGCAGAACTCATATACGGAAATAGAACGCTAATGTGAAGAGGTTCAGCCATAATTGAATGAGCAAAAATGGGTATGCTCATCTTTCCTTAAGGTGAAGCTTCCATTACAAGATAACATTAAAAAAATGTTCATTTTCCCATTATTATTAAGTATTCAGTAACAGAACTGGCAGATGGAGGAAGAAGGGAGGCACAAGTCTTCACATTTTTAGATATTCTTAATGTGTCCAGATTGCAACTGACATTGATGGATGCTTAGGCAATGCAAACTAAAGGATGACAAGGCATAGTTGTTATTTGTTTGTTTGTTTGTTGTTTACATACTAAATTAATTGCATTTTATTGTGATCTCTTTTTATATGTATCTCATTTTTTATCGTCAGGTTTTTAACTTTATCTTGATTTAATATTGCTTTACAGTGCCTTGAGTCACATGTTAGGAAAAATACAGGATGTCAAATAAGAAAAATAAATAATGGTAACAGTTATAATAATGAAAAATATTAGTATAGCTAAATCCCCTCTCTTGTCAGAGGAAAACTGGGGCTTTTCCCCTGGTACTAACATGACAACATTTTGCCAGAGAGAAGATATAGCTTTCCTTCTATTACTGTGTGTCACTTGTTTTTATTGTCTATTCCTAAACAATCCTCAGTGTTCAGTCATGAAATCTTTTTACTTCTCTTTCCCACCCCAAAATATCCCAGTGATGTTTGAGAAATTTTGTAACATTTTAAAATATTATTTGGCAATTGTTAAACTTATGATTGTATCAATCCAGCAAAAGACCTCCTATTAGAGATTCAAGAAAATATACTTTTTCTTATTGCCAATGGAAATATTGAGAACTGTACATATTTTTCAGATTTGGAAGCTTTTGAGAAAAATTATTAAAAATGGTATTTTACATCAAAAAAAATCCCAGCATATTGTACAAAAATGTAATATATGCACAAAATAGTTATTTTGCAAAAATTAGTTTTTCACAAAATATTTTTGCATTTTTTTCACAAAAAAAAATCTGAAGTTATTCAAAATAATTTTAAAATATTCAAAACTGTTTGTAAACTCAGTGCAGGGTAGGGTTAGGGTTTGGGTTAGGGAGGGGATTGAGATTTTTGTTGTTGTTCCCATGTCTCACATAATGAGCAAAATAAGTTACAGTTTTACATCTATAGTTCAGCCTTGCCTTTTTAAAACAGAAACAGGGGAGTAGATCCCATCTCTTTGATGTGGCAACTTTATGGACCCATTTTCCCCTTTAATTCTAGACTGGATTTCCTAAACTAAATCTGCATAGATCTTGATGTCCACTCTCTCCAAATGGTCCTAGGTTCAGTAATAATGTTCTGTCTCTGTTGTTTATTAAAGGCCAGGCACTCAATTTTCCTTGCTAACAAGTCCATTCCATAACAACTCTGGGAGGACTGGATATAATTACACAAATACCTCCTGTTTGTTTTGCAAACATTATTTAAAGCTAAGACTAATAGCTGCATTCTCTTGCACTTACTCACCTTTTAAACAGTAATCTAGACTAGCCCTGAAAGAGTTACATGAGTGCCACAAAAAATCAGCAATACAGGCTTGTGCCCACAAAAAGTTTGCAATAGTGTTCTTTCTTTTGCACATGGGAGGGATGGATGAGCTTTTTTGAACTTGGCAACAGATTACTCTAGATGCAGATAAGGATTGCTGTGAATCTTGGAACCAGAAGTATTGGGGCTCAGTTCCCTTTAAACATTTGCCAGCTTTGTCGAATAGCCTGTTGCTCTGAACAATGGTGTATTTATTTTATGAAAGAATTGGCTGGGATGTATTGGCTGGGTACTCACTTTTACAGTTGTGGCTGTACCCTGACTACCTGATGGAGACTCCCAGGTTCTTGAGCATGCCTTGGAAGGCAGAGGGGTGCCACTTGCAGTTAATGTGCTGCTAGGCTGAATGTTGTTGTTCATTCGTTCATTCGTCTCCGACTCTTCGTGACCTCATGGACCAGCCCACGCCAGAGCTCCCTGTCGGCCGTCACCACCCCCAGCTCCTTCAAGGTCAGTCCAGTCACTTCAAGGATGTGACTTGCCCTTGGTCGGCCCCATCTTGCCCTTGGTCGGCCCCTCTTCCTTTTGCCTTCCACTTTCCCCAGCATAATTGTCTTCTCTAGGCTTTCCTGTCTCCTCATGATGTGGCCAAAGTACTTCATCTTTGCCTCTAATATCCTTCCCTCCAGTGAGCAGTCGGGCTTTATTTCCTGGAGGATGGACTGGTTGGATCTTCTCGCAGTCCAAGGCACTCTCAGAACTTTCCTCCAGCACCACAGCTCAAAAGCATCGATCTTCCTTCGCTCAGCCTTCCCTAAGGTCCAGCTCTCACATCCGTAGGTCACTACAGGGAATACCATGGCTTTGACTAGGCGGATCTTTGTTGCCAGTCTGATGTCTCTACTCTTCACTATTTTATCGAGACTGGACATTGCTCTCCTCCCAAGAAGTAAGCGTCTTCTGATTTCCTGGCTACAGTCTGCATCTCCAGTAATCTTTGCACCTAGAAATACAAAGTCTGTCACGGCCTCCACGGTTTCTCCCTCTATTTTCCAGTTGTCAATCATTCTTGTTGCCATAATCTTGGTTTTTTTGACGTTTAGCTGCAACCCGGCTTTTGCGCTTCTTCTTTCACCTTGATTAGAAGGCTCCTCAGCTCCTCCTCGCTTTCGGCCATCAGAGTGGTGTCATCTGCATATCTGAGGTTGTTAATGTTTCTTCCAGCAATTTTCACCTCAGCTTTGCATTCATCAAGCCCCGCACATCGCATGATGTGTTCTGCATACAAGTTAAAAAGGTTGGGTGAGAGTATGCAGCCTTGCCGTACGCCTTTCCCAATCTTGAACCAGTCTGTTGTTCCGTGGTCAGTTCTTACTGTTGCTACTTGGTCCTTGTACAGATTCCTCAGGAGAGAGACAAGGTGGCTTGGTATGCCCATCCCACCAAGAACTTGCCACAATTTATTATGATCCACACAGTCAAAGGCTTTAGAATAGTCAATGAAGCAGAAGTAGATGTTTTTCTGAAACTCCCTGCCTTTCTCCATTATCCAGCGGATACTGGCAATTTGGTCTCTCGTTCCTCTGCCTTTTCTAAACCCAGCTTGAACATCTGGCAACTCTCGCTCCATGTATTGATGGAGTCTTCCTTGCAGGATCTTGAGCATTACCTTACTGGCATGAGAAATAAGGGCCACTGTACGGAAGTTTGAGCAGTCTTTCGCATTTCCCTTTTTTGGTATGGGGATATAAGTTGATTTTTTTCCAGTCTGATGGCCATTCTTGTGTTTTCCATATTTGCTGGCATATGGCATGCATCACCTTGACAGCATCATCTTTTAAGATTTTAAACAGTTCAGCTGGGATCTTGTCGTCTCCTGCTGCCTTGTTGTTAGCAATGCTTCTTAAGGCCCATTCAACCTCACTCCTCAGGATGTCTGGTTCTAATTCATTCACCACACCGTCATAACTATCCTCAATATTATTATCCTTCCTATACAGATCTTCTGTATAGTCTCGCCACCTTCTCTTGATCTCTTCAGCTTCTGTTAGGTCCCTGCCATCTTTGTTTCTTATCATACCAATTTTTGCCTGAAATTTACCTCCAATGTTTCTAATTTTCTGGAAGAGGTCTCTTGTCCTTCCTATTCTGTTGTCTTCTTCCACTTCCATGCATTGCTTGTTTAAAAATAGTTCCTTATCTCTTCTGGCTAACCTCTGGAATTGTGCGTTTTAACTGGGCATATCTCTCTTATCACTGTTTCCTTTTGCTTTCCTCCTTTCTTGGGCTACTTCCAGTGTCTCAGCAGACAACCATTTTGCCTTCTTGGTTTTCTTTTTCTTTGGGACGTACTTTGTTGCCGCCTCCTGAACAATGTCGCGGACTTCTGTCCATAGTTCTTCTGGGACTCTGTTTACTAAATCTAGTCCTTCAAATCTGTTCTTCACTTCCACAGTATATTCGCTAGGAATGTTAGTGAGATCATATCTAACTGGTCTGTGTATTTTCCCTGATCTCTTTAGTTTTATTCTAAATTGGGCAATAAGAAGTTCGTGATCTGAGCTACAGTCAGCCCCAGGTCTTGTTTTCACCAACTGGATGGATGTCCGCCACCTTTGGCTGCAAAGGATGTAGTCAATCTGATTTCGGTGTTGATCATCTGGTGATGTCCAGGTGTAAAGCCGTCTTTTAGGTTGTTGGAAGAGAGTATTAGTTATACACAGCGAGTTTTCCTGGCAAAATTCTATCAGCCTGCGTCCCGCTTCATTTTGTTCTCCCAGACCATGCTTGCCTGTGATCCCAGTTGTCATTTGACTTCCACCTTGGCATTCCAGTCTCCTGTAATGAAAATAATGTCTCTTTTTGGTGTATTATCCAGTAGGTCCTGCAGATCCTCATAGAACTGATCTACTTCTGCTTCTTCAGCAGCTGGGGTTGGGGCATATATTTGGATCACTGTAATGTTGAAAGGCTTTCCTTGCACTCGAATTGAGATCATTCTGTCATTTTTTGGGTTGTATCCAAGCACCGCTTTAGCGAATTTCTTATTAATTATGAAGGCTACTCCATTTCTTCGATGTTCCTCTTGTCCGCAGTAGTAGATATGGTGGTCATCTGATGTGAAGTGGCCCATTCCAGTCCATTTCAGTTCGCTGACCCCCAGAATGTCTATCTTTAATCTTGACATCCTACAATAACCACATCCAATTTGCCCTGGCTCATAGATCTTACATTCCAAGTTCCTATGGTGTGTTGATCTTTAGAACATCAGATTCATTGTTCACCTCCAGCACCGTCAGTCACTAGCCTTCCTTTCGGCTTTGAGCTAGCTGCGTCATCACATCTGGGGCTAGTTGAACTTATCCTCTGCTCCTCCCCAGTAGCATTTTGGCCATCTTCCGACCTGGGAGTCCCATCTTCCAATGCCATACCGACATATCTCTGGTTGTACTGGTCCATTTAGTTTTCTTGGCAAGGATACTGGAGTGGTTTGCCATTGCCTTCCCCAGGATCACGCTTGGTCTGACCTCTCTGCCACAACCGTCCCGTCTTGGGTGGCCCTTCACGGTTTCGCTCATGACATCATTGAGGTGCTCAAGCTCCAGCGCCCCGACAAGGCGGTGATCCTTTGCTGGAGGCTAGGCTGAATACATACATATTAAACAGCAGCTGCCCATAGCTGACAGAGGTGTCTCGGAATTTGGGCACAACCAGGCAACTGCCTGGTTAGCCCCTATGGATGGTCTGTCCTGGCCAGAGGTAAAGCAGGGAGCATGGCTTGAGCACTGATCAGTTCTACTGCCTTACGTATTGGTAGTACTTCATGTTTGGCTAGTGAGCCTTGTAATGAAAATGGTTTCAATAGAAATTGACAGTTCAAGGACAATTTTTAGTCTTGCTTTAACAGTCCCAACTGGGTTACTATATTGTAACTCCTAAACGTAGTCTACATAAATCTCAAAAGGAGAATAGTACAACTGTCAGATTCATATACATAACACAACTGTCAGTGTATATACATAACATAACTATTTAGTCTTGCTTTACAGTCCCAACTGGGTTCTAATAGTTACTATACTGTGACTCCAAAACATAGTCTACATAAATCGCAAAAGGATAATAGCACAAATGTCAGATTTATATACATAACACAACTGTCAGGATTATATGATAACACAACAACAAGTAATCCCCGATACAATATTCTTGTTTCGGGGATCCTTCTTCAGGCTGTGAATAGTCTATAGCAAACTTTTGATGAATGATATTTTCTTCATATAATCCATGGTCTCAAAATCTTCTCTTATGTTTATATAAATGTATTGCTGTTTCTTTAATTAGGCTTGCACAGTACTGCTCCAATTCAAAGCTTTCTTGTGTTGCTTATCTTTTGTTGTGGCTCAAGCAGAGCTCTATCAGTTCTTTTCACTCACAATAATTAGAACCCAGTTGAGACTCTTAAGCAAGACTAAAAATTGTCCTTGAATTGTCAATTTCTATTGAAACCATTTTCATTACATTGCTATATAGATATCTGTGCATGGCTAGTGAGCCTCCAATGGGGATCTAGATGGACACTGTGCTCCTTCTTCTCATATTCTCATAGATGGTGCTGTTTCAGATACATAAGAATCAATACTATGACAAAAATTCTTATATGATGCCTTAATTTTGCACCTGATAGAGAGAGAAAGATCAGGCTTTGAATCCTTCACAACCCATTCCCTGATGTTATAGATACTTCTCAGTTGATTAATAGATAGTTTTATAGCTACGCCCTCTGGTGGCGCAGCGGGTTAAACCGCTGAGCTGTTGAACTTGCTAACTGAAAGGTTGGTGGTTCGAATCTGGGGAGCGGGATGAGTCCTGCTGTTAGGCCCAGCTTCTGCCAACCTAGTAGTTCAAAAACATGAAAATGTGAGTAGATCAATAGGTACCGCCTTGGCAGGAAGGTAATGGTGCTCCATGCAGTCATGTCGGCCACATGGCCTTGGAGGTGTCCATGTACAATGCCGGCTCTTTGGCTTAGAAACAGAGGTGAGCACCACCCCCCAGAGTCAGACATGACTAGACTTAGTGCCAGGGGAAACCTTTACCTTTACCTTATAGTTACAAAGAAGACCTGCCTCTGCATCTCTAATGGTCTATGTCAAATTGTGGTTGGTGGGAGTAAAAGAGTAGATGTAAATAAATGGAAACCTCCTTATCTGTTATTTTATATGCTTGTTTTTTGTTTCATATGCTGCTGTTAGGTCTACCAGTCTGCATTTGTGAATTTTTAAAAGTCTGTCCTTAATAATTCATATAATAAGCTAAATGTGTGTATGTGCCACATATTATTAGCAAATCCTTCTAACTTGTTACTTAAATTCACATCAACTTTGTCTCCATGTCAGCCTCTTGGCGGTACATGTGTCTGAAGTAATACAAGTATCACCAACAATATTAGTGGTAGTGGTATTGGAATCTCTTATTATCTAATGTGTCAGTCCATCATATGTCCATCATATTTCTTTGATATTACAGATGTTGAACCTTTTTGTGGCTGTCATCATGGATAATTTTGAATATCTGACCCGTGACTCCTCCATTTTGGGGCCCCACCACTTGGATGAGTATGTACGTGTGTGGGCTGAGTATGATCCTGCTGCCTGGTAAGGACACAGATACCTTTCCTATTCCAATACTGAACCCATGGCCCCAACCCACGTAAAAGCATGGGGAAATGGATCAGGCTGATCCAAGAGTGGGAGCACACCAAAAGGGAAACTGGAGCAAGGGGAGGTGGAGAAAATCATCGCAGCTGGGGAAGAAGGCCGGAATCCAAGATTCCCATTTTCAGATCCAGTAAATTAAGGATAATTTGCGAGAAAGAAAATTAAGACTCCTGCTTTCTCTTAATTAACTACATCCTGGAGGGATACTGATCTGGTAGAAGTATCAATACATTTGTGGGAGAGAAATGGACTAGAACAGTTGAGTAAGAAGGATTTAAGACTCCTCGGTTCAATTCACAGAAGAGGAATATAATCATGTTTGATCTAAATGGGCAATGATTTGAAACTGTCTTGAGAGATATAGTTGTTATCAGATGTGACAAGAGGACAAGGCAGCCACCTAAGCTGAAACAGACTGGAGCCATTGCCTCTGTTTGCATGCAGCTCCATTGTGAGTCACCCCCACTCCCCAAGCTCAGCTCCAGTCATCATGGAGCTGCAACCTTTGTCACTTATTCTGTCATTCCCATTTCCATTCCTGTTGGCTAATTTCTTTGGGTCTTACTAGAAACAAGTGAATGGAAGATGTTGATGTGAGGGTTTATGGGTGATTAACATTTCCTCTTTTAATTTTAGGTTTTTGCAGCTGGATTCTATGACATCCACACATACACACACATTACCCCAAATGTTCAAAGAACATGCTGTTTTTCTCCTTCTGCCCAGAGATATCCCTTGCTACTTCCCTATGCTGACTTATGGGCTACATAGCCCCTAAACCAGGAAAACTGGTTGTGTGCTAGCAGATTTAAGTCAGATATTAATGGTTTTAGTGAAGCCTCTGATAGTTAGCCATGCTTTGTGATTTCTGCCACAAAGCATGGCTGAGCAAAGATGGGCTATTAAGGTGTTGTATGTAGCTTGAACATAATCTACAGATGCTACGTATTATTCAGCAGTCAGAAATGCACACAGTAGTCCTATTAGCAATAAATAACACACTTCTCACATTTTTTCATGTAGACAGCTCTGTGTGTGTGTACGTGTGTGTGTGTGTGCACGCCTGCTGGGGTCTGTCCTTCTCTTCTAATGTATCATACCATTCTGATAATTTTGTTGATGTTTTGCTTGATAGGAGGCCAGGCACTCTGCTGCTGCAAGTAGGTACAGTCAGCAGAGTCATGATAACTGGCACCTAGCAGAAGGTCCAACCAATTTTCTCTTAATATTATTTATTATCCCTGTGCCCTGTTGAGAGTGATTGCCCGTTGTGTCCAGGTTTAATGTGTTTGTTTACGCTGCCAGCCCTAACTGGCAAGCCCTGCCAAGCCCAGCTGAGGGAGTGACTATGATGGAGCCGGTGCTGTGCAGGGGCAGAGATTCTGGTCTGCCCCCACTCAAGCACTGGTTTCCCTTACACAAATTAATTGTTAATAGCCCTAATGAAAAGAAAGGAACCAAAATATATGCCTATGTCCTAAAATCCACGGCACAATGACTGATTCAAAAGGGCTATTGGAAACTTTAGAGAGGCAACGATACCTATTTTAACAAAAGAAATATCTTGAGTTGGGACTCAAGACTCAGGTCTTCCTGACCACCTCAGACTTCAGACTCAGTTCACTCTATCATTATTTTCCTAGCCTAGTTTCTCCTCTTCCATATTAATTCATAAAAAGAGTACTGGGCATCTTCCTTCTCTAGTGCTTGTAAGGAAACCTGTTAAGCTGCCGTGAAACCCTCTGTGCAAAGTCCTAAGAGGTCCTTTTCCTTCTACCACAGCCCATGGGAATATCCAGCTGTTCCTTATAAACCTGAGGGAGTTGGTATGGCTGGACTTAAGGTCTCTCTCTAGCCAGCAGTCCTGCTATATTCTGTGTGTTCATGACAGTATATGTGTTTCTCTTGCCCTGTAGCGTCTGCACTAACCCCCATGTATTCTTCTTGCAGTGGCCGAATTCATTATAAGGATATGTACAGTTTATTACGTGTAATATCTCCCCCCCTGGGCTTAGGCAAGAAATGCCCTCATAGGGTTGCTTGCAAGGTTTGACTTACACTAAAACCTGCTAGCATCAACGGAATGAATGTTGCTTATGGTTTCTTTAATATATATATTTCATATATATATATATATCTGTATCTGTTCACATACCTATCTATATATTGCACTTGGAAGAGTAACTTAGTAATGTAATTAGCCAACAGAATGCGTGAAATGATGCTGCCACCCAGACCAGTAACGCATGGAGCATACCGGTTACCTTGAACCATTTCTGCTTGCTGTTAGCTGGAGCTAGGCCTGGAGGGTTCTATGAGTCTCTATAACCACCTCAGCCATCCTCTGCACATTAATACTTCATCTGGGGAGGACAGAGACTCCATTGACACCTCTGCCATTTCTCCTTCCCTTCTTTCCCTTGTTTCTTTCCACCCTCCCTTTCCCACCACCTTCTCTCCCTGTAGTCTCCTCTCCTCCCACATTGGCAAAGAGGGGCTTCCTCATCTCAATCTATCTTTCTCTTTCTCTTTCTTTTCTGTGGTTCTTCATTATTATGTAGACCTGATCCTTCCCTCATTGGCCTGATACGCCCATGGGGATTTTGGTCTGAATTATATAAATCTCAAAAACTGAACAAAACAATGGGGCACATATTTAAGTTAAATCTGTTCCCTCAAGTGATAGAAAAAATAATTCTGAATGTCTTGAGTATGTGCTAATGCATTTTCCTGGGTCACAAGAACAGTTTAAGGAGCTGTCTTTCTACTCACAGTCATCCACGAACACTAAGCATATTCAAATTCTTTGCTGACAAGCAGCACAATAATCTTTACATTTTTATCTTCCATTTTTTTCCTTTTTCAATTGATTTCCAATATTTTTTCTCTTCTTTGCATCTCTCTCTCTCCTATTTTTCCGTGTATTTTTTCTTTTTAAATTATTTTTTTGTTTTTTTGTTTTTTTATTTTTTTTAATTTTTTGCTCCCAGGGGCCGGATGACTTTCATGGACATGTATGAGATGCTGAGACATATGTCTCCACCCCTGGGGTTAGGGAAGAAATGCCCAGCCCGTGTTGCTTATAAGGTAGAATATTTTTAAAGAAATAAAGAACAAAAATATATTTCAAGTTAGCTTCATTTTTATCTTTTTCTCCTCCAAGGACAAAAAAAAAATGTCAATCTGTAATTTTTGTACATTTCTTCTCCCTCCCCTTCCAAACCAATTTCTTGAGCAGTAACAGTGTGTCCGTTCAGTACTGTTAGCGTTCCATGTTTCAGAGACTCCATTATGGCCAGTAGATGTGGGGGCGGGTAAGAAACAAGTCCAAGGTGCATGCTCCAACTCAAAATTCCCACCAAAGTGTCACTAGCCCATCTTTCCATATCTAGCTCTAAAAACATTTGATTTTCCATTCCTCTTGCTACCCTTAAACCACCTAAACAACTGTGATTGCTCTGAGACTACCTAAGCAATACAAATACCTCCAAATGAATTGGTTATAACAGAGCCGGAAGGGGAAGAGAGATCAAAGCCCCAAAACAACTTAAATGAAGACATAACTTTTATAAAAGTTAGTTTATGAGGATCAAGGGAGGAAAAAATCAAATTGATATAAAAATTTAGTTAGCAGCATTAGAACAGTAGATTATAGCACAAGAAATATATGAGGTGGGCACATTTCTCTCTTTCAAAAAACTCTAAACATTATTACTCCTATCCAATCAACATGTGATATACTTGGAGTTATTATAAAAGATGTCCCACATATGCAGTTGAACAATGTAGCCAATATCTAGATGTTTGTTCTCCACTAGCTATTTCAGATTGAATCCATCAATTGAAATGTACATTTCTGTGTTTCCATTCTCCTTGGATGGAGCACACAAGTGAAACAACATACAGAATCTGAGTTCCTGTTGAGACCTTTACAGCACAATTGAATCCTTCCTAATCATGACTGATCCACATCCACTACGTAACATAACATAATATAACATAACATAACATAACATGAGCTAGCATGAGGTGGTTTTTGATGCACAAAGGCTGAAGCTCTTCTTCAGACTTCATGTCATAACATCTGTGCCAGAATCTGCATTTACTTTCTCCATACCTGGAGGACACCCAGGAAACTAATCTGGATAAATCTATTATTAGAGTTGGTCCCATATAAACACACCATATTGTAGTGAGAATCTGAATAATTGCCTTGTGCCAAGGTCTGTCTGTGTTTATTTTCTCAGTTTCCAAAGGGCATCCAGGAAATTAGATTTGGTCCTATGCAAACATACTGGGTTGAACAGAGAATCCAAAGATTATCATTCCAACCAGGAGTGAAAGGTTGGAATGATATACAGCCCAACAACAACAATATTTTTGGTTCCTTGGTTTTTAAGGCCTGTTCCTGGGGTTATTTGGGGCACTGATTCCAAAAATTGGATTGGATAGACTACATCAGCTCTAGTTTCTTAGATATGATTATTATTAAATGGGTGCACAAATAATGACTGGTAGATGGCATATCTTCTGTATCTCAAAAACTAAAGATGATGCCATTTTAAAATCAGCTCAAATACAGGCAGTCCCTGAGTTACAAACATTCAACTTACAAACAACTCATAGTTAAGAATGGGGTGAGACAACAGGAAATGAGAGAAATCTATCCCTGGGAAGGGAAATTCACTCCTGAAAAATTATCGTGGGAGAAAGGTGTTTCCACCAAAGCTTTAGCATCAATCTTTGTTTTCACAGCCAGCCATTTTTTCAGAATCCAGTAATCACAGAGACAGAAAGTGAAGTGAATTCTTCTGAACAAGGGCATGGTTGGCTAGCTGGAGTTACACTAAAAATGTACCTGTTCTGACTTACATACAAAATAAACTTAAGAACAAACCTACAAAACCTATCCTGATTGTAACTTGGAGACTGCCTGTATATCCAGAAACAGGGCTAATATTTGAGGCACCAAAATGTGTATTGGCCAGTGTTATCAAAGAACGAATGCGAGGACCCAAGAGCCAAGTATTTTGAGATACAAATCAAATTGCTGCATTCTGCCTTTTTCCAACTTTTTCAAGAAATAAAAGCAACAAAAACAAAATGCAATTTAAAAAACAATGTCTTTTTTGATCCTTGGCTAGCTGAAACAAAACCTGAATATCATTCCAAGAGTCAAACTAATATAAATTGCATGGTTTCAATAGTTTGAGCATTGAACTAGAACTCTGGATAATTTATTGGTTGATCTTGGGCAAGTCACATTCTCAGCCTCTGAGGAAGGCAAAGGCAAACCCACTCTGAACAAATCTTGCCAAGGAGACCACTTTAGTGTCAACATAAACTAGAAACAATTTGAAGGCATTCAACAATAGCAACTATGATTCATTCACATATATAACCTTGGTGTGGTCACTTTTTTTAAAAAAAAAAGCCAACCTAGAATAATAGGACCTCATCAGACGAGGGATTTTTCTGTCCTAGTGTGCTGCCAGCACACTGCCAGGGGGAACCCGCCAGAACCTGTCATATGCCACAAGGCTACTTCCAGCGGGACTCTGTTGGGCTCCATCCTGACAATGTGCTGGCACCATGCCAGCAGCATACTAAGTGAGAGCCCATATCCTCATTGAGGGTGACTACCTGTATCCTCATTGAAGACGCTGGAGACAGCACGGGAGGAAGCTGGGGACAACGGGGAAGCATAGTGGAATGGCAGTCCATGACTAACCACAATAAGGGGACGAAACTGGGTGCTGCCCCATGGTTTTCATGCTCCCTTCATGTGATGACAATAGTGTAAGCCAGGAATTTAAATTGTATGGGATGCCTGTGCTTTCCCACCTTTCCACTGGAAGAAGGGTCTTTAAGCTGTCCTTGTTATCAAAGTAAGAATAAGTCTCCCCTGTAATTTTAATGAGACAGAATCACTTATTCTGATGTATGTGTGTTCATATAAATATCAAATAGTGTCCTAATCATTGGCAGTTAGATTTCCATCTTTCTTAGTGAAATTGCTGGACTTGTCTAAGCAAATTGAATTCTTCAGTATTTATGTCAACACAGGTTCCATAGCAATAGGATAGGCATGGTTACTACAAGCTACATTAAAATGACATAGAATCATTGAGTTGGAAGAGATCTTGTGGGCCATCCAGTCCAACCCCCTGCCAAGAAGCAGGAAAATCACATTCAAAGAATCCCCAACATGTTGTGCAATTTAACAATAAAAATAGTGGTATTTTAAATAATAAATAAATAAAGGAAAAATATTCATTTCTGAGTTAACTTGGCAAACTCTATATATAGGTTGTAAAAGCCAGAGTGGGGTAGTGACTTAAGCATTGGACTACAACTCGAGATCAGGGTTCAAATCCCTATAGGCCATGGAAACTCACTGGATGACCTTGGACAAGTCAGATTCTCTTAATCTCAGAAGAAAGCAAAGACTAAATCCTGTCTTAATTTTCCCAAGAAAGCACTGTGATAGGTTTGTCTTAGGATCACCATAAATAGGAAATGGCTTGAAGGTACACAACAATAATAACTATATTGGTTTCAGATCCCATGTTGCAGAGATCAGTTTCCTAGTACATACCAGGATTTGATACGCTCCCTTTCTCCTCCCATTTAAGCCTAACCTAGGAATATACACTTTCTCTTTGTTGCATGCAAGAGTATTGCAATACGTGTCAAGGTAAAACTTCTGCTTGAGAGCAGGTGCAAATACATACAAGTACTTGTCTTCATCCACCTACCTTCCACAGAATTACAGTTATTTTACTGTCAACATTGCTCACTCATGCCCTTCCGGCTTACTGTAAAATGTTAGGGCAATGTTTTCATTATTTTTCTAATTGTTCTTTTGATCTCTTCAAGTCACTTAAAACAGATACCCACACCTTTTCACAGCTTCTGCCTCCATAATGACGTAATTTCCTATGAAAGAACACAACCTTAGGGGAAGTAGTTGAGTATTTTTTAAAAAGAAATAAATTAACCTACTTTTCTCTCCACCCCTTCTCTCTGCTGCTTCATGCCTCCTTCTCTGTCAATGCAATTCTAACCTGTCAGAAGCTTTTCTCCCTTTGTCCCACCCAATATCTCCATATTTTAGTCCTAATCCTTTTATACACCTCAGTAGTTGATTCATCACTACATCTTCTTCCTCCTTCCTTTCCAAAACTCTGCCACTCACTTTTCAACAACCCAAAGTTTCCCTGTGACCTTTCCCTAGTATGTATGTGTGAGTGCATGTGATCTCCTCTTCACCTCAATCAGTTATTGGTTTCTCTTGCTGGTTCTTGGCACAGCTATTGAAATGTTCACTTACTCAATGGAAGGGACTTAGGGATTTTGTAGTGATTGAGAGTATAGAGAAGTGGTAGACAATATACCATATAACATTCCTAATCAACCAATGGGGATAAAAATAGTTTAGGTGTCAGCTTATTCAGTTGGCTTTGCTATGCAGAAATTACCACGGATATGTTACTTAACTTAAGAAAAAGGTTAGGGAGAAATCAGAGACAAATGATGACATGCATTCAGAGAACAGCAGCAATGAGAAATGAAGTGCTTCAAAAATGTATTGGTGAGTAGAATATATTACTTGTAATTGAGATCTTCAGATGGATAACTGTTGCCCCATTTTTAAATATGCTTCATCCATTCTCAGGTGGTTTCTACACAGAAACTATAATGTAGTTTGAAGCTAGTTCAAAGATGGAGTGTCTGCAAAATGTGCAACCCCAATGCACACATCAAGACAGAAATGGCGTATTTAAAAATAATCACCAGAAAACCTGGAACAAGCCAAAAAGTGAGCTGCAACATATTAGAGTATCAAAATTGGAACCAGAAAATGTGGAGCGCTTGCACTGAAGAACTTTTAAAAAGTGGAAACACAGCTGGCTGGAAGATAAATAATCATTCCTCTTGCTGTCCACCCGTTTGTTTCCTGTGACCTGCCGTGATTCAGCAGTTATCTCAAATGGGCATGGATATGCAGTGCATCTCAACAGATTGGTTAAGAAGAAAGACCCACATTTTCCAGTGGCTGTTTAGCTGCAGATACTGGCATTCCTGGGTTTGGTTTGATCCGCATTTAGCAGATACTGTGGTCACCATCCCAACCTCAGACTTCTTTTTGGGGTGTTTGCACAGCATAACTAGTTCTTTTTTCATCCATTTGCTAACTAGATTACAGTGTCTGTCTAGAATTGACCCTTGTTTCATGCCACAAAGAATAGAAACAAGGAGTACTTTGAAGGTGGAGGAGACCAATATTCTATGCATAGACATATGTCAGGTACTCAAAGGGTTTGAAGAGAAATTAAGGGTCATCTTTATCACCCTGCTTTACTTATGGAGGAGCAGGGGGGGGGAGGTGTTTCAACTTGCCCATTATATTGAAAGTACGATTGTATCTATCTGCCCTCTGATGCTTGACTAATACTTCCCTTGTGGTCCCTGCATTTCTATATTGCCACGGTAGACATGATTAAAATTCCAGAAGTCCCAGATTTTATTTTGAAGATTTGTAAACATTTTATTTATACCAAAATATTTTCCGTCAACTTGCAGTATAACCAGGGACTCTTTATACCTCAGGTCAGTTTATTTTAACCCAGTGTAAAGTTGGAAAGAACAAGAACAAAACCTCGGACTTGAATCAGTCTGAATGTGCCTTTAGGTCAATTGAAAGTTCACAAAATACTGTGCAAGCATTTGAAGAACTCAAAAGTGCATAATTCTTTGTGGGCTTTGATTTGGCCTAAGGAAGATAATTTCAGTAGTAATGATTTTACACATAAATCTAAACTAAGGTAAATCCAATGAGTCAATTCCTGAATGTAAGTAAACATTAATGTAAATCATACTGATTCAGTGATTCTACTATAGCTAGAGCGAGCAGTTATATTTTGATAGCACATTTTTCTTTAAATTATAAAAACTTGAGCAGTGGCAAATATTAATAATTCAGTCCTCAGATGTTTCTTCCTACTACATTATGATAGCTCCCCTCCTACCTTTTGAGGGGAGAGCTCTCTTGGTAACTCCTTTTCCAGTGATCAATTCCAATTTTGAAGTTGGAGTATGAGTGGGATGTTAAATTTTTCTTGGTATTTCTAAAAAATTCTAATACTCAAATAATGAGAAATAGATTATATGCTTTTGGAGATTTTTATATCCAAACATATGCACAAAGTAAGAATCCTCACTGTGGCATACTATGATAGCTAGACAGGTAGGACTGTACCATTCACACGATATTAAGCAACTTGTAGTGACTTAAATTTGGAAAATCTTCAAACTAAAAAGCAGTTGCAGAAGAGAAAATGGAAGGTGGAAAAATAATGTGAATTAAAAGACTTAGTGAATGCATACAATCACAATTGCACATTATTTCTTAAAATCTAATTAAATCTGGCAATTTAAAAGTGCATATAAATGTTTTCTTTGTCGTCATCTCAGTGAATCACCCAACTGGATGTTCTGTACCTGTTCAGAGCATCCTTGAGACTTTCTAGAACAGTAGTTCTCAACCTGTGGGTCCCCAGATGTTTTGGCCTTCAGCTCCCAGAAATCCTAAAAGCTGGTAAACTGGCTGGGATTTCTGGGAGTTGTAGGCCAAAACACCTGAGGACCCACAGGTTGAGAACCACTGGTCTAGAATTTGTAGGCAGAAGCTGCTTAGCGCGGTAATCTAACCTATTCTCCCAAGCTCATATCAGGCACTTGTTGCTGCCCCTACCCTCACATCCTTTTCATCCGTGCTACAGTAGCTCCTAGGAACCTTCATTATTGGCTCAATTTCTTTCTGTGAAGGCATTACATATGTTTCTTTCTTTCTTCACTAGTTTTTGCCCACTTGGGATAGATTATCTTAGAATTAAGTATATTTTGTGTCTCAAAGTTTTGGCAGGTCCCTTCATTGCTTCACTCTTTGTCTCTCTGATTCTCTCATCTGAGATGAGTAATGGCATCCACCATGGATTTCAAACATTGCAAGCAATACAACAGGACCTTGCCTGACATGGATGGGCATTTTAAGTGCCTTGTCTGCCTGGTGCACTCCTGCATATATTGTCAGGCTTTCATACCTCAGATACAAAAAATGAGAGGCCTATTGGAGATCTTTTCTTTACCATATGATATTATCATACCTTCTCCAGCATCAAATCTGACAGCAGCGGGCCTGTCAAATTTTAAGAGTGGACGCCTTTCAGTTTCAGACATCCCTTTGATCTCCAGTACAAAACCTGCTTCTCCACCTGCATCATCCATGAAAGCAGCTGTTAAACGCTCCACTGAGGAGACAGGTTCATCAGAGTCCAAGAACTCTAAAACTTCTTCCCACCAATCCTCTGACAAGCTTAGTTTAGATACACAGCCTAGGCAAAAGACTGGTGCAAAGAAAAAAAATTGAAAACATGGAATTGTTCGCTATTGAGAGATTGACTTCATCCTATTGTGGAAAGCTATGCCACAATGATGCAGAGATCAGAGAGGCCATGGATTTGTGCATCTGAACAGGATCGTTCTCCTCCAGTATTGTACTCCAGGCAGAAGGCCATTCTGAAGGAGAGATTGTGGACTCTTCACCACATATTTTGGAGCATCCCCCAACTTCTATGCCATTTGGAGTTGTGCAATCTCAAAAGCTGGAGTTGAAGTCATCTGCCCACGACAGACTCAACAAAATAACATACCATAATCTGGTTCTAAGACAGAGTTTGGGAAGGAAGATCCCACGAACTTGGAGATGATGCTTCACCATGAGTCCTGCCACATAGTATCCACTACAAGTACCATGAGGACTTTAGATTGGATCCTCCGACACCTCCGCCAAGGCCCACATCCTTGCTACATAGACATCACCTGGATTTTCCTCCAAGATGGGGTCAAGACATCTAATTGGTCTGTGGGGACTGGTATTATGAACCACATTTTCCTGCAGTCTCTGAAGTGGAGACTTTTGCATTGTCAAGTTTTTGTTATCCAGATGGCTCTCCCAAACACTGGGTCTCTCTGATTGATGCCCCAAAGCCAATGGATAATTTATGGGCTTTTACAGATCAAGTTCTTTTGATGGTAGATGCTTTGGGTCTGCAGGTTAAGCAATCAACCCAAATCATTTATAACCCACTATAATGAGATGTCCAAAAGGCTGCCCCTCCATCAACTTTCCTCCATTTTTGCCTCATCTCCTACAATTTATGAAACTGTCCTGGACGACACCATCATTAGTAGGCCTGGGTAACAACGGAAAAATTTGTTTCTAAAATCGATTTGTATTTGGGGTTTTTTTTGTTTCGATATTTAAAATAATTACAAAATTTTCCTTTTAAAAAGTTCGATATTTACGAAATTTCGTAAATGGTAAAAAAAATTAACGAATCGATTTCCGAAACAATAACGAATCGATTCGTTAATGGCGGACGCGACCGCGAAATATGCTAAAAAACCTCCAAAACCTTCTGAAGCTTCCCTCTCCCTCTGTTGTTGACTGTTGGTGTGATATTATAATTTTTTTCACTAATTAAACCATAAAACTGGCCCAGACATGCGGAAATAATAACGAAACGACCTCAAAACAATAACGAAACGAATACAATAACGAAATACGAAGCATTTACAAAACGTATTTAAAAATTCGGTTTTTTTAATAATTGCTCCAGAATGGTTCGTTATCGTTTTGTAATTGGAAAAAATAACGAATTATTAACGAATTACGAATTAACGAAACGAAACCGCCCAGGCCTAATTTATTATATAAATTAAAGCAGACAGTAGATTGTGATAATAGGCACTAACCATGGTTGTCCCACCATCCAAAGATGAATAGTTGAGGCTAAAACCAGGTCCTCCCAGAAGCTTCACTCAGCTCTGGCAAATTGCAAGGGGAAGAAGCTTAATGCCATGAGGAGGAAACCTTATTTGGGATCTACTCTCTTCACACGCATTGCAACCTATGGTGCCTGCATGGAGAACTATCAGCGCAACCGTGCAAATTCAGTGGCTCTGTTTTTGATAAGTTAGACAGCAAGGACAGGAAAACTTTGGCAACTTTTCACTAGGAGGCCTTCTTCTTCCACATCATCAAGTCCAGCTGGCAAAGCACACAGCAGATACAACTGGAAAAATGCTGTCACATGTTGTACCCATACAGTGCCACACTTAATTGAGGTCATTTGGGCTATTTTCTCCTATCAGAGCTGTCATCAAGGACATGCCATTTGATGACTCAGGTCTGTTTAATGAAGCCATCGATTCAAAATTTAAAAAACCACCAAGAGCTTTGAACAGCTGAAAATAAATATGGCCTGTGAGCAAAGACCTCATACATGTCTTTTCGAATAAGATGGCATCAGAATTAATCCTACCATAGCCTGTCCATTTCACCTCTATACTGACCAAAGTCATTCTCGCAGCAATGGTGCCAACCTTGTTCAAAGCTAGTGAATTCACTAATTGTAAGAACTGACTGTGAGCACTTCAAACCAGTGCTTTTGCATTGGCCATTCGGTCAACTCACAAAAGGACAAGTTACCCCACTGTTTATGGATAGACTTGCTCAGTATGCCCATGTCTGGTCAAGAATAACCACAGACCAGTGAGGAAAGATCCACAAAACACAGTCTGCAGCTTTGATTCTTCAGGAGATCGACATCCATTGAGGCAGAGCTTCAGACTCAATGTTTTTTCTTTCTGTTACTTGCAATCTCCCAAAGAGACAGTGATCTCTAACAAATCATGAACCTCAGGGCTGTCAACAATTTCATAAGACTGAAGCATTTCTAGATGGTGACTGTTGCGTCAGTCCTACCACTTCTTTGTCAGAGAGATTGGTTTGCCACCCTCAATCTCAAAGATGCGTATTTCCATATTGTAGTGCACTCTCAGTGCTGACAGTACCTTATCTCTTGCATCAGAGACATATATTTCAGTTTTGAGTCCTACCTTTTGGCTTGGCAATGGCACAGTAGGTGTTCATCAAATGTATGGCAGCAGTGTCCACATATCTTCTCACCTACTATGTTTCCATCTATCCTTACCCTGATGCCTAGCTGGTGGTGGCATACAGGAAACCATGGTTACTACAAAACATAGATTTGTTCTTCATCTACTAAACAAGCTTGGCCTCATACTGAGTCAGGATAAATCTCATTTACTCCCAACACACAGCGTCCAGATTCTAGGGATGCTATTTGATTCCATTGAGGAAAAGACTATTCACAAACGTTCAGAATGCTGTCCCCCACTGCTGAAAACACAAGAAAATGCAAGCTAAGACATTTCACCCTGCTTGGTCACCCAGCTTTGGCCACAGTTTTGAGACTGTTTCCAAAACTTCATATGAGACCTCTGCAAATCATGGTTCCTACAGCACTTCAATTCTATAAGAGAATCACAGTTGAAGCACTTCTCCATCATGTCTCTGACAAATTAGAGCTCTCTCTGTTTCCACAGAGACTTTCAAAATGAAATGTGGATACAATTAGACTATGTTATGGACTGGTTGGAATAATAATAATAATAATAATAATAATAATAATAAACTTTATTTGTATCCCGCTACCATCTCCCCATGGGACTCGATGCGGCTTACATGAGGCCAAGCCCAAAATACATCAAACAACATCAATAATACAAGATTAATAAATAATCATTAAAATACAAATCATATAAATCACATAACAAAACAACTACCAATAGTGACATATAAACAGTTTTGAAACAGCTGGGCCAAATGTAATATGCTTACGTGAACAGGTAAAATATAACTGGATAGGCTTTTTCAGAGAGAAACGAGGGAACAACAATCCATCCTAAGTCAGTATTAAAGTGCATTATAAGGGCATATTGCTGAGAGTTCTCCTATTCTGGGAAGGCACACTGGAACTCCCATCTTCTCAAATTTGAGCACATACTACAAGGGCCACAAAGACATCTACAGCTTTTATTAAGGGTATTACCCCAGAGATTTCCAGGACTCTTATTTGGAGCAACCCTTCTACTTTCATCTTACACTATAGACTGGACTCTAGATATGTTGCTGACACGACTTTTAGTAGGACAGTATTGTTCTGTGTTTCCTGAATTCAAATTCCTACTTTGTCCTGGTTTCTTTCATTCAAGGGTTTTATTATTAATAGACTACAACAAGAGTTTTTTATAAAGGGATCAATGTTGTTCTGCAACTGTTTTTATGTGTCTTGATGTTGACACATTTACCTCAAATTCAAAATGTTTTACCTTGAATTCGTAGCATCATGATGTCTCTTTTACAGACATTTGGCATATGTTTTTGCCACATGTTCTTCTTGGTGGCTGTGTCTTTTCTGTGTACTTGAATGGGCTCAACCCAGTGAAATGTATGTGCTAACTGTGTGCACAGTTATGTATGTGCTAATTAACAAAGCATGTATTTACACCATAAATCATTCCTTAATGCAAGCTTTATTCTTGGTTATTTAATAAAGTTTTATATTTTCCTTAATTACCTAACTCTTGGATGCCATGACTCCTTCCATCCATGGTCCTTAGTTTTTTAGTCACCCAGTTGTGTGATTCACAGAGAATATGAAGAAGGACAGGTTGCTTACCTATAACTTTATTTCTTCAAGTGGTCATCTGTGAATTCACACAACTGCACCCATCCTGGGGCAGCAATCCATACCTTATATGCACTTGGGATAATGGGCGGGGTTACTGCTAAAAACATTTATCTCTAAAAATTCTGGACAGTTTTAAAGATGCTCTGTGCAGGTACAGAACATCCAGTTATGTGAATTCAAAAATGACAACTCAAAGAAATACAGTTACAGGTAAGCGACCTGTCCTTCTCAAGTAGAAGGGAATGCTCTAATCAGTATTACAAGGAAGAATATTCCAAACATACGGAGAAGCAGGTTAGATGACTCAAAAATAAGTAAATAATTTTGACATAAACAGAATGAGATAAGAATAGAGTGTGTGTTTTGATCCAGGCCCAGAACATATACTCTGTTCTTATTTCCTTTTTATTTAAGTCACAAGCGTTTTATCTTTAGTATAACATAGCATACTAAAGATAGCATGGTATGCTGTCTTTAATATAGCATACTAAAGAAAAGGGAGGAAAAATTACAAAAGTTAAACAAAACACTGGAGTAAAAGAAGCAAGCAAAATCCCACCAAGAGTTAAACATGTCAATGCAGATTTGACTGAACCAGGCAAGCAGATACAAACTTATCTTCAGAGTGAGGGAATATAAAATACTTAAAGAAAACACAGGAGAAAAGTTGTTCAAGCATTTAAATTTTTTTCAAACAAATCAATAACGGCTAAATGAAATGTATGAGAACCCACATAGATAGAAGAAACTTGTTAAACTTAAATAGACGATTTCATATTTAAGTGATGGCCTAGCATACAAGAAGAATATTATGAAAGGACTGGGGTAAACAAACTGAGAATTTTGGTAGAATTAAAAACAAAATAAAGACTTTTTCATGTAGATAAACGCCTTACAACCTGTGATAAACGCCTTACAAGCATCCTGGAAAACACTTTATGACACAATTATTCAAATCACTTTGGAAAATACAATGATAGTTACATAAACAAACAGGGAGGGACACATTCTGCTGTTGTACTTGATCTTGCTATGACTCTATGGAATTGGTGTGTTCAAAAGTATATTCATCCTGTTACAGTACTTCTAGCACTCACGGACAATGCTTGTGTACTCCAATACAAACAGACCATGTCAGATGATGAATTCCTGTGTCTGACATCCGGATGTAAGACTTCAAGTCTCAGATTTGTTCACTTTCCCAATGCTCTTACTACAATACATTCTGAGCCCTGTCACGTGCACAATGGAGGACCTTCTTACAGCGACACCAAAGGCACTCCAAGTGACCAGTTTCTGGTCAAAGGAAATTTAGTATAATGCCATTTTTAAATATGTTATAACTGTATTTTAAATTCGCTTCTGACACAATAAATAAATAAATGCATTCCCAATTAACACCAAGTGTTCTTATCTAGAGCAGATTGGGGTCAAATGTCTCTTGGGAATGCTTTCTGCGTAGATGGTCTTGATCTCTCTTTTTCCCATTTTTTCCCATTACTTTCAGAAGGTTTGAATTGTCTAGACACAGATCCAACACCATTCTAATAGTGCCCTGTTAGCTGAGACAGCTATGATTCGGCCAATTTTTTCAGCTGTCAAAAGGCCGTTTCATGCATCCAACCTACTTTCACATTCTCACAATCAAGTCCTCCATCTGGAACTTGAGATTCTGCCACTCACAACATAAAAAATAACATCTTGATTTCTCCTCAGCGCTGAGGTGTATTCTTGACTTCATGGAAGGACTCCACTAGAAAATCTTATCATTACAAATGGAAAATATTTTAGTTTGTTTGCAACGTCAAGGTCTGATCCCTCTTCTCCATCTTCATTGTCTAATATTTTGCATTTTCTCTAACACCTGGTTTACCTGGCTGCAGTTGTAGCCAACCAACTCTGCCCTTTCCTTCCTTGTTTTTGGATCCTGTAATAAAGAAGTTCGTTAAAGATCTATATCATCTTTATCCTTTAGTGACACCACCTGCTCCACCATTGACACTGTCACTAGTATTTTCTCAACTTACACATGGCTCAATCAAATCTCTGGCAACAGATGATGAACAACTGCTTCCCTGAAAAGCCATGCTCCTTGTAGCTGTAACCTCTGAGAGACACATGGGCAAGTTTAAGGTGTGATGTTCCCTTCCAGATTTTTCATCAGGATGAAGTTGTCTCCCCTCCCAGATGTCACTTTTTTTCAAAGATGTTTTCATACTTTCATCTGAACCAAAATAATATTCTTCCAACATTTTATCCACAGCCATATTTCCATCAGGAAAGGTCTTTTCTTAGCCTATATGTATGTTAGGCCTTGACTTACTCTGTTCCTCATTTTGCTCTGTTCTGGAAGTCTAAAAGACTGTTTGTTTGTTGTGGCGGTAGACCTAAAACAGGACTCTAAGTGTCTTCCCAGAGACTTTCCAAATGGGTTGTCCATACAATCGGTTTAGTGAACTTTCAGTGATTCTAAGAACACATTCCACTAGAGTGTGGCCAATTTCACTGCACTTCTATGTGGTGTTCCTTTAGCAGATGTCTGCAAAGCCGCAACATAATTGCAGCCATCCACATTCATCTAGATCAGTGGTTCCCAATTTGTGCTCCATGGAGCCCTGAGGACTCCACATGCACTTACCGGGGCTCCACAGCCACTCCAGGCAAATAAAATATATAAAAATTGAATGAAATTAAAGAATAAGAAACAAAGTTTAATCAAAATGAGAAAAATAGATATTACATTTGGAATACGAAATTTCCAAGTTGAATTTTGCACCTTTAACAGGGCACTTGATCATTCTGCTGCCACTAGCTCCAAAAGTATTGACAACGACGTTGGGTAGGGTGCCGAAGTGTCACACACACTCTGTCATGTGCTACATTTTAATAGCCCTTTCTGGAACTGAATGTCCACATCATTTCTTGTAACTGCATATTCAGTAAGTTTCTCCGTTATTCTTGACCCTTTGAAAATTCCTGGAATCCACTCAAACCTTCTTGGAATCATATAAAATTAAGGCTGGCTAGTCGATTTGGAGCCACTTCACAGCAATAACATTCATAGCAATAACTGTGATTTCTTAGCAATTCTTCTGAAAATTTTCTATGCATTTGAACTTTTAATGAGTTTTAGTTCTGTTGTGTCATGTTCTACTCATACATTCAAACCCCGAACTACTGCAATACATTTCCAGTAGAAAAACTTTACATTATGAATTGATTCAGGTGCTTTTATTGGTATTCAAGTAGGTAAGTACTTGTATTTTGTTACAAAATTTTATTTGCTTTATTTTGTATTTTGGTTTATGAAAGATAAACTCCATTATTCTCATATTCCTGTGTGATTTTCTTTTAGGCATAGTTGCTGGCTTCAAATAGGTACTTTGAAGAAAAAAAATATGTTATGTTTGAAAAGGAGGACAAACCAGCAACTCACTCCATTACTTCGCCAAATGAACAAATGGCAAAAAAAGACAACCAAGCAATGCACTTAACCAGTTTTTTGTCAGAAGAGAAAAAGAAAAGAAACTATTTCTGACTGTGGCTCCACCTCAATTGTTGTTTGCAAAATCTGGAAGAAGTGGGCATTGGGGAACACACCTCCCAATACAAAACAAAAATATGAAGAAAGTTACTTGAATATGGAATTCATAGAAACGAATGATAGTTGGCCTCTCTGTGATTTGTGGAAATATGTTGACCAACAGTTCCATGTTTCCTGCTCAACTGCAGCGTCATTTCAAGGGAAATGCCCTCAGTGGTGCAGTGGGTTAAACCCTTGTGTTGCCGGGACTGAAGACCAACAGGTCGCAGGTTCTAATCCGGGGAGAGCACGGATGAGCTCCCTCTATCAGTTCCAGCTCCCCATGTGGGAACATGAGAGAAGCCTTCCACAAGGATGGTAGAACATAAAAAAAAGATCTGGGCATCCCCTGGGCAACATCCTTGCAGATGGCCAATTCTCTCACAACAGAAGCAACTTGCAGTTTCTCAAGTCACTCCTGACGCCCAAAAAAATCGAGTTAAAAGATAAACTGTTTGATATTTTTCAAGAGGAAGTGCAATGAAATTTAGCAGTTTTCCTTCCTTCACTTGCTTAGTCTCCAATCCCATCGTGCATTTTGTTCAACTCCATCTTCTATGGGTTTCTTCAACCTTTCCAGGGCCACCCATCCATTGCACATTCACTGATGGTGGAAAGGCAGTGATGGGTCACAGTGCTAGAGCCATTGCCAAAATTAAAGGTAAGGCAAAGAAATGTACCAGCAGCCATTATATTATTCATAGATACACACTAGCCTTGAGAAAAATGCCTTCTAAGCTTATGATAGTGTTGAATGAGACTATAAATAATCGATTATATAAAATCACAATCTCTTAAATGCAGGCTCTTCAAACTAATGTGTGAAGATTTGGGAAGCCACAGTGAGTCCTGCTGCACACTGAAGTAAAGGGGTTGTCTCAAAGTAAAACATTGACATATTTGATGGAACTGCATGCAGAGATAACAGCATTTTTGGTGGACCATAATGCTCTATTGACAACAGTTTTAAATAATAAAGACTGGGTGTGCAAACTGGCGTATTTGGGCAACATTTTTAGCAAAATGAACTAAATGAATCTATCATTGCCAGAAAAAATTGGCACAGTTTTTGATGCAAACACGAAAGTGTCTTCTTTTAAGAGGAAACTTGTATATCAGTTGGAGTGCATGGAAACGGAAGATATCAATTGCTTCCCACATACAAAAAGCATCTTGAATTAAAATAACATCAAGATTCAAGAAAAAATACAGAGAAATATTCAACCGCATCTCAAAGCTTTGAAATATATATTTGAACATAATTTTTAACAGCAAAATGGAAGGTACTTGATGCCTTTAAATGGATACTGAATGTATTGAGCATGAACAAAAAGCCACCCAGCTTAAACTCAGCGGAATACAAGTCCTCACAGATTTGACACCTTATAGTGAACTAAAAATCACATTTCAAAATCAGTCTACCAGAGTTTTGACTGCACTTACAAGATGAATTTAAAGTCTTGTCTGAGAAAGCAAAATTAGTATTGCTACCTTTCTCAACTACATATCTCGTGAAGTTGGATTCTTAGTCTATACAGTCTCAAAACAAAATACAGAAGCCACTTAAATGTAAAATCAAACATTATACTGCAATTGTCATCAATTGAACCTAAAATAAGAAAACTGTGCAAAAAATTAAGTTAACTTATAATGTTTATATGTTATTTTATGTTATTTTATGTTATGTCTTAATTTAGACATACTGTTGCACTACAGTGCACTCTACTTCTGTTATAATGCAAATGGTGTGATTTATTGCTCTTGGAAAGCATTTTTATATATGTCCAAGTTTTGTCAATATCATGTGTAATGGTGGTAGTTGAGACAAATTTGAGATACTATGTTTTTTGAAATACAATTTCATTGCATATACATTATACAATTGTTTAGATATCTCTTTACTTTACGTTACTCCTAAACACCATTAACTTGTAAAATATAGAGTAGGCCTAAGGGGCTCCCCCTTAAAAATTTATTCTAAAAAGGGCTTCGCAAGCCAAAAATTTTGGGAACCACTGATCTAGATTATTGACTGCATTGCACGTCTAGAACTGATGAAAGTTTTGGATGAGCTGTTCTCTCCTCTGTTTCCCCATGACATGATGGGGAAAAGAGAGAGGGCACATGGGGTGCCACGAACCACCCTGTCCACCTTTCCTTTTGCTGGTGATTACCGTGTGAAGAGGTTCTCAGTCTGCCATCCTCTGATAAGTCTGAGTTTGTGTGAGGAACAGAGACCACTAGGAAGAAGAACAGGTTGCTTCCCTGTAATTGTAGTTCTTCAAGTGTCATCTGTACTCTCACAAAAACCCACCCTACCTCCCCTCTTTCTTTAGTAGACTTCAGAACCGAAGTAGCTTAACAGACTGGGACATGCATGAGCACAAAACATATTTCTGTGAGGGCACAGACAACTACTCAAAGAACCACATTTACAAGTAAGCAATCAGTTCATATCTTGGATGTAAGAAATATACAAAATACTGGAATCACATGAGTATATTCTGTAGTTCAAGGACCAAAATCATGTATTTTTCACAAAGTTTGGATTATTTCTTTCACTTTTTTGAAGGTACAAACTATTTGAGTAGTTTCTGCAAGTAGTTCCTGAGACAAGATCGTGCCACATTTATATCTGTGTTTAATATACACCATTTTGGATGTGTACGAATTAGTAAATACATTAGAATTGGTTTTCTTCAGTCATACAGCCATGGGTATGTTTCCATGTGTTGAATCTAATTTATACGTATGTGAAATATCCACCAAAGTGCAGAAATACCATTTCTTAAGTTTTAATCAGTTCATCTTTTTGTAACAGTGGGAGGAGAGTGATTTGTAAAACTTAAAATTTGTACATATTTACTCAGAAGTACATATTTACTTAATGAGACTTACTTCATGATTCATGAGTGTAGGATTGTACTTTGAATAAACCAGAGAAACAAACAAAAAGCAGTGGGGCTAAATGGAAACATAATGGAATGAAGAGAGAACACTGAGGTCAAAATCAGATATATAAAATAATAATTAATTTATCTATTATCTCAGAGGTATTCATGTTAAGTTTCAACTTCTATCCAGTTGTGTGCAGCCTTAAGTTGATCAGCTCATCTGCATATCTATATTACAGACTGACTAGCTGTGGCTTTCTATAGTTTTCCCCATCACCTTCTACTTGATTCTTTCAGCTGAAGATGACAGGCAGGGCTGTAGCCAGAAAAAAATTTCGGGGAAGGTTGACAATTTCGGGGGGGGTTGAAAATTTCGGAGGGGGGGGTTGAAACCTGCCTCCTAGCTCACGCTGAAGCAAAGAGCACAGCAGGGGGCAGAGCAGCCTTCCATAGCCTGCAGCTCCGCCCCTGTCAACCACCTCCACCAAGTCTGGCTTCCTTAATGAGAGCATTCAACACACACACACCCAACTTGGTTGCTTCACTACATCGGCTATTGCTGCAAGTAATGACAGTGTGAATAAATTGTCAATATTTGCTTGAGATAGTGCTTACAGTTCTGGAGGGACTCTTAATTTTTTGCATCTCATAGACTTAGCATGGGGATTTGGTTAACCAGTTAAAATTCATGAGTAAACCAGGTTTTTAAAAAAAATCTGAAACATTTCGGGGGGGGAGTTGAACCCCTAAAACCACCCCCTCGCTACAGGCCTGATTAACTGGCATACTTTATATGTGAAGCATGTGCTCTGATGCTCATGCCCTGCTGCCATCAGAATGCCAAAGAGCTGAATGGTATGACCATACAATGCCAGCTGGTGCACTCAAATTTCACTTTAATAACAAGTATCATGGTAATTGCCATATGACTATATCTCTGGTCTGCCTTGGCCACTAGAAGTAACAAGTTTTTACAAGAAGAAAAAAATACTGTTTATATTCGAGTATAAGCAGATCCTGAGGCATCTAATTTTATCACAAAAAACTGGGAAAACACATTGACTCGAGTATAAGCCGAGGGCAGGAAATGCAGCAGCTACTGGTAAATTTAAAAAAAATGCATTAATTGACTCTTCAGTAGCTTAAATGTTTTTGAAATGTTTACATTAAAGTGTAATTTAAGAAAACACTGTCCAACTCTGATTAATCCATTATTCTAATCTTCTTCAATGTAAATGTGCTTATGTAGCCTTCCTATAAAAATAAAGAGAGAAAATAATAAATGTAATAAAAATAATAATACAGTAAAATAATGGAAATGTAATAATAACAGTAATAATTGTGTAAAATAATAAATGTAATAACAATAATAGAGAAAAATAACAAATGTAATAATAATAGAGTAAAGTAATAAATTTAATAATTATTATAATCATAATAACAACAGAGTAAAATAATAATTAGCCTTGACTCAAGTATAAGCCAAGGAGGGCCTTTCCAGCCTTCAAAAGGGGCTGAGAAACTAGGCTTATACTCATGTATATATGTACATTAAGAACATTTTCTATTCCAGTGGGGACAACTCTCCCCAAGAAGAAGCTTGTCAAAGAAAGCGTTGATTGCAATTTAAATACAATCTGGTATTGTGTGTTTTGCATGCACAGTAAGTTAAATAATTGACTTGCATTTAAAAAATCAAATATATCTTGTTATTGGCAGTCCTTCAGAAAGGAAGCCAAAGTATCCATATCTTGAAAATATAACTATGCTGAATTCTTGGTGAATTGCAGCCCTAAATTCTGAAACATCTCAAAAGAGAATATGGGATCATCATAATCTCAAACAGTAATACATTGCTCCTATCATGGGAAGAGTGGAAACTCCATATTCTGGCTGGAGAAGGATTGTCTATGTATACAATAAAGTTGTTAAATAACTGCTACAGACTTAGTGGAGCAGCTACTGACAAACTAGGCCACAGTAAACAGTAAATATGTCTATTATGTTGACGTTTTATATTATATTTGCTTTTAAGAAAAATGCATAGAGTTGTCTGAACAATAGAGCCTAGTACAGCCAATGGTTTCAATGGCCAACTTTAATACCAAGTATAAGTAAGTGGGTGAGTTTCAGAGATCTTACGTTACTTTAGGCTTAATGAGAAGAGGGTGGAATTATAGAAGATTGTTCAAAGTATATGCAGCTTAAGTTAAATGGATTTTAGTCTAAAGGTTTTGGTGACAAGATCCACAAGTCCCATTCCTAGCTGTGCCATTTCTATATCTGTGCTTCTGTTTTCCAGTATCCATATAGTAAAATAATGTTTTATTTTTAATACCTGCAATAGTTTTCCCCTATGCAGTTTCTTGTTCCCCTTTTATTATTCCACACCTTTCCTATCAGTTACTCTTATCCTCCATCCCCAGATTCAATTACCTGTGGCATCAGTTGTCCAGAAAACCTTTTGAGAGAGATAACTATTCTGCAATAATACCATATTTACTCAAATCTACTGCTCATCTTTTCTTTTTCTTTTTTGCTAAATTGTATAGCCAAAACTGAGATGTGCATTAGGTTCAATGGTGTATTAGAATTGTGCATTTAACCCACATACACACACCCTGAACTCACCAGCCTCATCCTGACAGAGGGACACCGCTTCCCTACTGGCCTCATTTATGAGGCCTTCAAAATATTCCCCATTCCCACTCATGGTTTTCCAGCCTTGGCCTGATGGAGGGACACGGCTTCCCCTTGTCCGTCAGCCATTTGGAGGTAACCAGCAGAAGAGTCAACTGGCAAGGGAAAACCACACATTTCATTTGACAACAAATCCCTCAGTTTTTGCAATGTGCACTTTAAGAATTGAGGTGCACAATTACAGTCCATGGTGCATTATGAGTAAATATGATACTGACCACCAGTGAAAGAAGGAACATTGAGTTCTGAATCTCTTGCCTGATTCAAAGAAGAATTACATTCTGAGAAGCTTGAGTATTTTGCAAAATTAAAGCTTGTAAGTTGTTTGGCTTGACAATTTCACGTCTATTATCCTGTGCAGTATCATACCCTCCAACATCTCAAAGATTAAAATGGTCAAACAACATCACAGTGTAGTCAAAATGGCAAAACGTATTAATGAAGAAAAATAGATAAGCTAGGAGAGGCTGAAGCAGCTTGCTTTCGCCTGGGCCTATTGGGAAGGTCAGGAGTCCAGCATCTCCCCACTGATGAATTCGTTGAGTATATGCTACCTTTGCACTCATTTTACAGCAGTTGAACTAAGCTAAGACAAGGGAGGAATGTTCGAGGACAAGAGAAACTGGGACATTTTAAAAGCAGCTGCACAACTGGGAGGAGTGAGGACTAACAGGGGGTGCCATCTAAATTGTAGAATTCAATCAGTTGGGTAACACTTTAAATATCCTGTCTCCATGCAATTGAGTTGTAGTGTTTTACAATGTCTTTAGCCTTCTCTGCCAAGGAGTTTGGTGCCTCACCAAACTGCAGCTTCCAGAATTCCATAGCATTGAACCATGGCAGTTAAAGCGGTCTCGAACTGACTTAATTCTACAGATAGATACACCCTCAGACTTCCTGCCAAATTAGTTGGAGTATATATAGTATGGGCAGTATGATTAATGTCCCTGTCCACATATGGTTTAGTTTATGAAAATTCTACTTTACTGTCTTGAAATCAGCACATTGTGAATGGTGTGACTCAACATGAACATTACAGAAAGAAAGTCAGATTCAATAGCAAGTAAAAATTAGAAATTCCTTGGATTAAATTCATTATGCAAATGTCAGGTTTTATATGAATACCTACACATCATTTATGAGATTTTTATCTTTATTTTGGTGTTCATTGAAATATTTTGTTAATGCAAGAAAATCTTGAAGATATTGACTAAAATCTTATTGATTAGTTCCTACTAGAATAAATCAATTGAATCCCTTGTTGAATGTTGAGTCAGCATGTAGACACATCTCACTAATTTAATGAAGCTACTGTAGTTGGAACTAACAATAGGATTCAAGCCACTGAGCAGAACATGTATGAAAGGAAATTGAAAGGGAGGTACATAAACTGCTGCTACATTGAGAACTGACAACATCTGTAGCAGTAGAATAAGAGTAGCTCCCATAACATCCAACCTTTTGCAGATAGAAAGTAGGGCACTCGTGCTTTAGCAATATCAGAGTTTAATCAAAAGTGCATGGCCAGGCATCAAGGAGCTGACATTATTATTGACAAATAACACAGAGAGCTACTATTGTGAATATAGAAACCATGGAATTTATGTGTTGAGTTTGGGAAAGGCTGAAAAATAGAAAAGGACAATAGGACGTGCAAGGCACTGCCTCCTTCTATTAACCTAGTGCAAATTATTTTGAACTTTGAACTCTGTTTGCAACAATTAAAAAGTGAGAGGAGAGAGAAAACTTGACTTTTAAAAGCAGAAAGTGGAACCACAGAAGATTAACCATGTTTGTCTATGTCAAACCATGACATTTTGAGAGTATGGGCTCCAGTGTTGCACTATTTGAAAATAGAAACATTTCACAATAGAAATGGGAGTATCAATCCTTGAGTGGCACACCTGCAAAGGAGTTACCAATCCTTTTCGGGTGTGCTGGCTATTCAATCAATTGTTTTCAACCTTTGCTCCTCAAAATGGTTTAGGTTTTAGCACCCAAAATTGGATATTGACCACACTGTCTGCGGTTCTGGAAATTGAACTCCAAAATATTTGGAAGACCAGAGATTGAAAACCACCGTCTTGAATACAGTCATAATGTTGCTGTCCTCGGACAAATGAATCAGTTCTTATTGGGCATATCCATATTGTAACTTTTCCCTTGCTGCTTTATTTAATATATGACATACTATTATACTATCAAGTACTACCAAAATTTTAGGGAGTAGCCTCTGAGAGAAGCAACCACCTGATCTGCCAAAGTGGTGTGACTTTTGAGTTCTGACTACAGAACAAAATTATAAATCTCAACAGGTGTTCTAGGTGACCTGAAAAAATGTCTTAAGATCCCATCTATAATTGCCAGTATGAAAAAAATTCTAGGAGCGAAATATGACTGCTTCATCTTGTCTAGAAAATTACTAACAGTTTACTCCACGCCATTCTGCATATGTCGAGAAAGAAAAGATTGACTCTCCCAGATCCTCCTGACAGCTGGTACTGATGGATGTGAAAGAAAGGGAAATGCCACATCAATCTGTAGCCTAATGATTAGATAGAAACATAGAGTAAGTGAAGGAACAGGCAGCATTCTTACAGATTACCCCCCAAAAAGGAGATGCTGAGTACATACAGAGACAGCATAGAGGGGCATCTGTTCAGTGCTCACTCAAGGTGAATTCACAAGATTAACAGGTTTTCTGGACAACAGGTTCCTGAAGAATCTTCCTGCTCACCTGATCATCACCTGAATGTGTGTCTCCCTCTTTCTCTCCCACTTTCTTCTCTGTTTCAATCTCACCTGTTGTCATCCTGTGTACCTCTGTTCAATAACATCCACTTAACTATCCCACAAGACCCTGATCGCCTAACCCCCATTGTCATTGGTCTGCAGCCTATCTCAGCTAATGCACTAGCAGGTCAAGCCCCACCCTGAGCATCTTGTGTGATCTCCAGCCCATGGCCTTGGCTCAGAGGAATGGCACATGGCCCATAGTCTGTCAATTTCATTTCTTTCTTTTCTACCTTAAGGGCGCACCCATTTTTTGCACCAAGAGCCCACAATCCGGACCTCTCCCTTTAGAGCAATCTATACCAGAGCTATGAATGAGTCTCAATGTGTCTCTGTGGATGCCTTTGCATTGTGCTGTGATGCATGCTGCATGCTCTTTTTGCATGCTTCTAGTCTTGCACACTTGATAATAACCTGCTCTGTTGAATGGTTGCAGTGCATTCTCCTTAGACCCCCATCCCTGTACTGCTCTGTCTGCTGCTATCTTGAAAAGGCGGAATTTTGCTTTGTTTTGTTGATTTATTTTTCACTTTTTTATTTGCTATATATTTAACGAATGAACTCTTGAGGAGAACTCTGTGAAAGTTAAACCCTCGAACAGGATTCATTCCAGAGAGGATGATGTCACATGAAGTCTAGGGAATAGAATCAATCTCCCAACTGTGCAAGAAGAGTGATCTTGCAAGGAAAATTGGAGCTCTTGATTCCTTGTCATCGTAGAAGAGAACCGAAGCCTGGTAGTTGCTTTTCAATGAGGCTACAATGTACACATCTTCTCTGAAAACCTTTTGAGGGATTGCCCCTCCCTCTTTGCAAAAAAAAATGAAGAAAAAGAAGAAAGGAAAATATTGATAATCCTGCAGACTAATCCTAACCATGTTTACTTGGAAGCAAGCCCCCGTTACTTCTGTGAGATGAACATGGAAGCAGCACTTTTAGGATTGCCACCTGAGTTTAGTTATTTTGTGGGAGTACAATCTAATCATGTTTCCTTGAAATTGATGCGAAATTTATGATACCTGTGTGTAGTAGAGATTGAGTGAAAGAAAAGTGAGGCAGAGCAAGAACAGTATGTAATTAACTTACAAATATTGCAGTCATACTTGATCTGCATGACCCTGAATGAGAGAACATTAAACAACTAATAGTAGAGGACACTGAACATAAGGTCCCTGACCCCAGAGTTCTCCTCAAGTGCCTTAGGTTCATCTGTGCATGACAAACTGGGAGGTTTTAGGGTCATAAAATGATACATTTCTGCTTGGATTTCTCCAGAGATTACTTCGTATGGACCTGCCTGTGGCAGATGATAATACAGTCCATTTCAATTCCACTCTCATGGCATTGATCCGGACTGCACTTGACATCAAGATTGCCAAAGGTAAGTATTGCCTTCATAAACCCAGCTAGAGAGAATTATCTCTTATCTGATAGATTAGATAATTCTGTGAAATGAGAGTGGATTTAGGAAAGCCCATCTTAAACTACTGTGGCACATGCTGTACGAGATACTTAAACCGAAAGAAGAATATAAAATTCAGTATGCATGTTGCTAACTCTAAGTTCATAGAGCACATCCCACAGTGAAATGAAGCTGAAAAGACTCTGGTACTCAGCTTGTCCAAATGCCATCTGTAGGAGGGGACCAACTCTTTAAGAGTCACCAGGAGAAGGGCTAAGGGGTCTGAAGTGTGTTTAGAACAGAGGTACATCCCTCCAGATGCTAGACTGTAGCTCCTATCAGGCTAGGCAATGGTGAGACTGAAAATTGAGTTGTGGTCCAGCAACATTTAGAGTCTTAACATTTCTGATTTATATGTTTAGATGTTCTTGTCATTGTTTAAGGTTTCTTGGTTCCTAGGCTGAAATTTTGGCAGTTCAGCTTGTTGAAGCAGTTTAACTAAGTTTTGCCATAATGTACTCTGCGTTTCCCAATAAGGCTCTTTCTAGCAAGTAGAAAATTAGAGATTTAGAGAGCGAATTGTGCTAGAGTATTTCCCTCTGAATGGCCAGCTTGCTCATTACATTTCAGCATACAGTTCTTTATATGTAGATGGAATATTGGCAACAAAATAAAATTCTCCATCATGCCTGAGAGTACCAGGCCAGTTGAGGGAATCAGAGCAGAAGTCAAGGCATGTACACCTCTGTCCTAGGAAAGAATCATTCAGGGAGAACAACCAATGAACTGCTGACCTCTCCCTGTATTTGATGTCTCACACAGTTGCCTGTACCTACTTCTAAAGCCAGGTTTGAGTAGGGAATAGTTGTAAATGCCAACTCAAAACTGTGTGGTATTTACATTTCGGGGAGAAGTTGTCCTCAGCTGTGATAATAAGATTGCGATGGCTTTTTTTATTTTCAATATTAAACACAAATTTGCAAAAGCAATAAAATGTTAATATTCAGAGGGGCAGGGATAGCAATCAGGGGCACACATGTCTATTACTTACCTCCCATTCCTGGGTTGCATCTTCTAGGAGGGGCTGACAAACAGCAGATGGATTCAGAGCTGAGGAAGGAGATGATGGCAATCTGGCCGAACTTGTCCCAGAAAACACTGGATCTCTTGGTAACCCCTCATAAATGTAAGAGCTGCTGTTTACTGCCACTACCTACATTGACATTTTATCACACTGAATTCATTTGTGGACACTCATGTTTACTACTGCAAAGCTGTCTGCTTAATGCAGAGAATTATACTATTTCCACACTTACCTACATTTGTTATTCCAAATTAACAATAATTATTCTAACTGGCAGGCATCAGTGACAATATCTGTGTTCAAAAGAAGTATAAGTTACTGAAAAGGCACAGGATACATTATTGTAGCTACCTCTTACATATATATTCTACTTCTGGAGGTAGGCAACCTTCAGAGATCTGGAAGCTACATCAGCCACCTATGGCTATGGGGACTTCCGCCACCACCTTCATGCCTCAAATTGTTTTATTCTTCTTTTTCTCTTCATTTTATTTCCTTTTTTCTTTGAGTGTACAAAATAGATAGTCATGCTATCTAGAGGATATGATTGGTCATTTTGGAGCAACCACCACTAAAACTCAGTTTTAGGCCTGAGAGGTTTTTTTTCCTCTATTGGGAGTGAATGGACAAGACCTTGTTGCAGCCACCCTGTGATCTGTTCATATGCCCCTATACATCTGATTTCTCTGGGGGCCCAAAAGACCAATCATGCTTTTTACAGTCACATTGGGTTTTTGCAAAAGACCCCTATGGATTTAGAGCAGATTGGCTGGATTGGTAAGATCAGTCACATCACCCCTAGAGGCAGCAATTGATGATTTCATCTGTCTCCAATTCTTGGTAGTATGTGGAGATCAGAAGAAATGCAGACTTCCTTCAGATTCCTCACTATAAACCCATGGTCCTTAGTGTGCCAAACTATTTTCTATTTCTCCTCAAAATTGATGTTGCGTCACTTCCTGCTGCCCTTTTGCAGATGAAATGGGGGTTTTCTGAACAGCTTAGCCTATCGCTGGCTGCCTCTGACTGGACAGGTACAGATTAAGTGGATAGGGAGCTCTCTTTGAGGAGGAGCATGGGACTTCCACGTGCTTCCCAAAAATGACGATGGAGTGATGTCTTGTTTTCCTTTGTCAATCAGCATTGGTCTTGATCCCTTATACTATTTCGGGACAATTGCTCCCAATGCTTAGGAGCCTGTAAAGACCAGGTCCTCTACTGTAATTTACCATGTGGCAGATAAACCTGTAGACATCCCCTCACATATTTACCTGGGCTCCCACCCCAAAACTCAATGACAAATTGAATGCTTTGCACAAGTTCAGTTGCAGTGTATCCAAAAAGATGAGAAATCAAAACCAGTACAAGGCACTGGGGAGTACCGTTGAACCAGTGCCAAAAGAAGAATAAAGTCTCTTTTTTTAAAATTTGCAGCTACCGACCTGACCGTGGGCAAAATCTATGCAGCCATGATGATCATGGAATATTACCGCCAAAGTAAGGCTAAGAAGTTGCAGGCTTTGCAGGAGGAGCAGGTATGTGAAGAACATAAAACATTAATTAGGAAAGATCCTTTTGCTCCCAGTTCTGGCTCAGATTTTTGTCTATTCAATAAACCTAATTTCTGCCAGCTCTTGGACTCACATTTAAAGGGTGGAAAGAACGTCATGGTTTAAAAACTGATTTTTTCATTAGTAACTATGGGGAACAGGATGAGTGTGTATGATTGAGAGGACGAGAGGGGATGCATTTATACTATGGAATCAATGCAGTTTGACACAAATTTAACTTCCATCGCTCAATTTTCAGAAGGAAAAATGACCTTTTAGACAACAAATAAAGTGCGGTTGATCTGGATCAACAAATCAATTCTAGCATTGTGAATCTGGTTCAGGAGAAATTAACTTTCCATTTTTGGGCTGTCCTTGAAGAAGTTGCAATGGAACCCGTCGTGACTGAATTCAAATTTTAACATTAGACTGCTGTTTCTTTCATTGTCAAACTCTGATTTAGTTTGTGTTTTCTTGTAGAATCGGACACCCCTTATGTTTCAGCGCATGGAGCCACCATCCCCAACCCAGGAGGGTGTCCAAGGGCAGAATGCTCTTCCTTCCTCACAGTTGGATCAAGGAGTTGGAATGTGAGTCTTAGCCAATAAAGCCTCCAGTCCTGCTGTGTTCTACAGAAGAGCTTCTTAAGCTATCTGATGTGGAAGACCATTAATTTATTCCCATCGTGCCAGAGATTTGTAGAGATCTTGCAGACTGGCATTGATACGTGGACCACCATATTGAGTAGCATATCAACTTCCAATTTATCTTTTTAAATGCCAGAGTAGTGCATAATAAAATGAAATCGTTATCTTTTATTTAACATATGTTAGTCTGAGAAGCCTGATTTGTCTAGTAACTCCCTATTCTGTTCCTGCCAAGCATTTGTTGAAGTTCTTGGAACCACAGCTTGTAGTTATATTTCAAGTACCTGAGGGTTTAGCATAGCAGAAAAAATTCCGTATCTCCCATAGGAGGCTTTGGTAGTTGTCTCACCATCCTTCAATCCAGGAGTGATCCCAGTGTTACATGCCTGGCTATGGCAGGGCAACAACTTCATTATCTCAAAGAGTTGACTCGGTTTGACCAGTCTCAAGCTCTATGTAGAATTATGTTTGAGTCTGAGTTTTTCTGTCTATTTCCAGGGGCGTGCAGGAAGGGGGAATGAAACCAAGCGAGTCATGGGTCACGCAAAGAGCACAGGAGATGTTCCAGAAGACAGGAACATGGAGTCCAGAGCGAGGGCACCCGGAGGAGATACCCAATAGCCGGACCAATTCCCAGGTGGTTTATGTGCCAGCAAGGTGTTTGGACTAGCAATTGCCTATCTGTCCTTTTCTTGGTGTCTCTTTTCCCTGCTCAATCCATCCTCCTGTGATCAGTCTGTCATTATAATGCTATATAACAAAATTAGAAATGTTTTCCTGGTTTGAAAGTGTTATTTCCTGTTTAAATATGTAGTACTTACTTTGAAAGTAGTTGTTATACTTCAGAAACTTTGTTTTTATGGCTGCCATAAATTAAGTAGAATTTCCTGAGACTCTATGATGTATTCATCGAAAACATATAGTAAAATGTGTTGCAAGATGTCCACCAAAACAAAGTTTTTGCAGTTTAATAAACATTTTCCATGTTTTTGTGATAGAACCAAGTAGAAAATGACATTTATAGCCCAGGTGTAATCGGACATTATGATTATATAATCTAGATTTGGAAAAATTGCTTAAATTGCATAGACCAAAAAAGGCAAAAGTATGGGTTGGACCAATATGGGTTCAGAATTGGTTTGCAGTGTGATTTGAGTTAGGCACAGAACAAACCACATTTTGGGAAGCTTCAGTAACACAATAAGTGTGGAATGTGTTTGTGGTGAAACCACTGCAAGACTTTTCTTCTCTAAGCAGAAATCTTCCTCTTTTTGGTCATCTTGCCTTTTCATTATATTAATTTGATCATGTAACTTCCCCTCATTAAAATAAAAAGGATTCTTAAAATAGTTTCAGAAATCAAGTAAAATTTCACCAAATTATGAGGGCTCCATATTGGTAACAAAGAAATGGTAATTTAATGTTCATCATATTGGCTGAGGTTTTCTAAAGGTATGAATTGCATTGACATTAAGACAAATATGTGGGGAAGTTTCTTGCCACGTGTAATCACAATGTACTAACTTATTTTCCAAACACCAATATTGTATTATTTTGTGGAGTCCAGAATAACTTGAGAATAAAATACAGTGAGCAGGTCATTTTCCATTCTGCGCATCCTATGTTTGTCTTCTCCCAGAGTTGCCAGTATGTCAATGACTTGGTGCGCTTGGTGATATTAGGAAATACATTCAGATGCAGCCAAATATAAAAAATAAAAAAATCCATAAAGGAGTCATGCCTTTATTAACAAACCAAAATGCAGAAAATATACAATGCAAGCTTTTAAAGTGTTAGCTTCTTCATTAGGCAAAGATATTAAAAGTGATGACATTAGAGTCACAGGACTACATTTTGCCTCAAGGATTATTTCTGTTGTCAGGTAAGCTGGTCTCAAGGTATATCAGTGCTGCTGGAAATCATTTCCCTTCTTGGATATGTGGGGACTGGGAGCATAAAACAATAAAAGACTGGTAATAAAATTTGCATCATTGTCTCACTAACTGGCAACAGAGATAACATTCAAGACAAAATTTAGACCTGCGACTCTAACATGGTCACCTTTCATAGAACCATAGCATTGGAAGAGACTTCATGGGCATCCAGTCCAACCCCCTGCCAAGAAGCAGGGAAATCACATGTCTTTTCCCCAAGAAGAAAGCTGGTGCGCTAGCAGCTAGAAATGGCGGCATTATTTCTCCTTTCCTCATGTAATTGTACATGTTGTGGCAGCAGAGGGAGCTATATAATGTTTACGCTATTTTCTGCCAAGAAGACCAGCAAGCTCCATGAAGAGCTTTGCAGCATCTTCGGTGCACTGGCATCTTTGGAGCAGAGATGGGGAACTCATGGCCCTCCAGGTGTTGAACTGCAGTTTCCTCAGTCTCAGTCAACATAGGTAATGATGAGGAAGGATGTAATTTGTAACTCAACAACATCTGAATGGCCTGTCTTTTAGTAGATCAGAGGGATTGTGGGAAGTGAAGTCCAGAACATCTGGAGGAGCACATTTTGAGAAACTCTTGTCCAAATTAATTCTAGATTTCAAAGGGTCAATTCCCTCCATGATGCATTTCTGTCTTTAGGTGGGAAGTGGGTTTATAAGGGATAATGACCATTGGAGGAATTGAATCATGTATAGCAGCAAAGCTCTTAAATCACTGGATGTTAACAATAGACAGAAGTTGGAAAAACTAGACTGATCCATTGAGTTTCTTACTCTTTGGACATCCCATCCCTCCCACGTCCTCTAGATGTAGAATGGAGTTGTGTCTTTCCACTTGGCTTTCCATGTGTTCTGACTCCATTGTTTGCCTTGCCTAATACAGTCTGTAGAGATGCGGGAGATGGTGAAGGATGGCTACTCAGACAGTGACCAGTATCTGCCAATGGAAGGCCATGGACGAGCAGCCTCCATGCCACGACTGCCTGCTGAAAACCAGGTGAGGGTTTTTTTCTCTGACCCATGTGTGAACTAGAGGGCTGAGGTGATTCTCTCTTCCCTGGCTCCTGGAGGTAGGAATAACCCTAGTGGTCACCCACACCAAGGATGCTGGCTTGGTCTTCTGTGTACTGATGCAAAGTGAAACATTGCTTGGACCCTACCTCTTCCATCTGAATTCTGTCAGGCAAGAGTGAAGAACATTTGCCCCCCTCCCCCAAGTTGTTGCTGAATCACAAATCCTATAATCATCCCTCATGATTGGCAGTGATGGAAGCAATTGTCCAAAAGTCTCTGGAGAAACATGGGTTTGCTACTCTAGCTTTAGGATGTGCCAAATAAAACTACTCAGTGCTTCAAGGAAGAATTTCAAGTAATATCATGACCACGTGCTAAAGCCTTTGTTCTCAGATAGTGAGAAGTATCAATGTTGCTTTTATCTAGCACACTGATGAGGCTGAATCCCACATCAGCTATCTGTGATTTACATTGCCCTCTTTTTAATTCATAGAAATTGTCAATTTCATCTGGCCCACAGGTCGTGGCTATTGTGTAGTAATCATGTTGTCTTCCTGGCAGTACTTTAGCTTACATGCAAGCAGCCACCTGTCATCCTCGTTTATTGGTCCTAAATATTATGGAAAAATTATCCCATTCAGTTCTACAAAACTAGCATTTTGCTATTAATACATCTCTTCTGGCCTTAGGGCTACTACCACCTTCGCATGCCTGGAGCCATTCCACTAATTATGTAAAGAGTGCTTCTTTAGTCCATTTAGGCCACAGTGTCAAACATGGGCCAATCTAGTCCACCAGTTTATGTGGCCCTCCAGATGCTGGAGTACAACTCCTATATTTCTCATCATTAGCTATAATGACTAGAGTGGATGGGAGTTGTGATCTGGAATAGGATCCGGAAGGCTTCAGTTACTTCTGTTTAGTCAGGATAATGGGTTTGATCTGAGATACAAGACTTGTAGATATGATGTGTCTGGTTTTTAAATGTCCTTTAACCTTTCTCCAACTTCAGAGACACAAGAGCTGTTGAAAAATAGTTTGATATCCCTGCTTTAGGCAGGGAAGGCTCTGCTTAATTTTGCATCTTCCTGCTCTTTTTGTCCCCAACCTGTTTAAGAAGACCAATAGCCCACATTCATCAGCTAGCAACAAGACAGAAGCAGATGCCAGGCTCCTATGACAGTCACAGCAGCGTGATGAAAGGAGAGACAGAGCAGATATACAGTTTCTTTACTACAATAAGTGAGGAGACCTCGGTGGCACAATGGGTTAAACCCTTGTGCTGGCAGGACTGAAGACCAACAGGTTGGAGGTTCGAATCTGGGGAGAGCACAGATGAGCTCCCTCTGTCATCTCCAGCTCCCCATGCAGGGACATGAGAGAAGCCTCCCACAAGGATGGTAAAACCAAAAAAAATCTGGGTATCCCCTGGACAACATCTTTGCAGATGGCCAATTCTCTCACACCAGAAGCAATTTGCAGTTTCTCAAGTTGCTTCTGACACAAAAACGAAAACTATAATAAGTGCTTTGACAGGCTGAAGGGCTTTGGGTATCTGTTACACATGGTTTTCAACTTGCATCAGTAACAAGTAACCAGAAGGATTAACATTGGCTGCAGTACACATATGTCAATTTTATGATATCTCCCTTAGAAAACCAAACCGGGCTCCACTCTGGCCAAATCTGGAGAAGCTAAAGGGGGAAATTATGAAATGAAAAAGGTTGACATGTGAATGCAGCAATTGAACAAATCTGACCCCAGGAGACAATCAGAGTGATCCAAGGAAGAGAAATGGCACCTCTTTGTCAGGGGAGGAGGGTGGGAACACGATCTGAGTCAGGCATCATCTACCATATGCTTTGCAAGAGAGTTCTGTTGAAGAGTTTGGGAACTGCCAATCAGGTTATCTAGCATCTTGTTCCTGCCTGATGCTACCCAATTGTGGTCCCTTTCACATTTTGGTGCCTCAGGGACCACAACTTTCTGCCTTAAGTTGCCTTGCTTTGAAGGCACCATTTCTGTTGTTTTGATGAGGCTAGAATTTTATTTTACTGAAGGTTTGTTCTGTTATGCTACACTTGTCCCCAACCCTTCCTTCTCTTGACCAGAAATGGACAAATTGAAAGGACCAAATAAAATGGCATCTGCCTCCTTGTCCTAGCAGCGCTGCCATGTAAACAAGGATCATGTCCTTCTGCAGCAGTCTTCCTGCTATTAATGTTTGCTTCCTGATCTGGCATGAAGCATGCTTGGTGGTAGCCATCTCTTTAGGGATGTGACATGTAGTCCCAGCAGCCAGTGTTGTGCAAGGTGGGAGGGGCAGAGTGGATGATGGGCTTTGGGATAGGGAATGCTCTTTGCTAAGCATGTGCCAAGCAGCAGTTGCTCTCAGCATGCTCAGGTGTGTACAGCATTTATTGCCATATCAACAGGCTAAGCATATGTGTGTCTCTGTGTATATATGTGCAAATGAAAGCTTGGGCATATTATGACGTGAAAAAGGTCAGTATACCATCTCCAGTGCTTCTTGCAATAGGTCCTATTCCAGGAGAAAGATGGGGTGTAAGTTGAATAAATAAATATGTATCCAGATTCTTCTTAGAAGATCCTAAATCTTGCATCACAAGACCATTACACCTTGCTGAAGACATCTGCTAAATCAACTAGGCTGCAAAACCCTGGCCTTGCCTTTCAGGTAGTAACACATCAATTCAGTGACCCTTTATTGGTCTGTCTCACCAAGGCTGGGTAGCCTGGATAGCTCATTTGACAAGGCTCAAGTGTTCCCAACAAAAGTCCCTCATTATCATCAGGTTTTTATCAAAGTGAAGATTCAGGAAGGGACCTTTGATTCAGCAGGCAAGATTTTAACTGTAAGGCAATGCTTGTGAAATATTGCTTTGGAAAATCCTGGAGTTCCTCAATGAGAAGATCAGTATTGGTAGACAGACCTGGAAAAAACCCTCTTTCCTTACTACCAGCAGCACTCCCTTCAAGTACAGAGCTGTGAGGGAGTTGTAACATATGTTCTAAGCACACAACCCATGAGGGCCAGTTGAGGCAGTCCCACTGGACTAGAAAGCACTGGCTGCTTATTTGAGAGCATTTCCCTGAATCATCTGGAACATGCAGGGCTTTCTTGCCAGAAGAGTCAACACGAGAAAGATTCTCTCAAGGTAGATAATGTGAAAACGGTTGCTTTAAGATCTAGGTGGTCAACCCAGAGTAGAGGAGTGGGGGATTTTGGAATGTCTGAGTAAGAGTTAGAAAGCCCATAGTCTTGACTATGACAAGAAGTAGGCCTGGACTCCAGTTTTGTTCAGATACGCTGTGCTGCTGCCTACTTAACAGTGCAGCCAATTCCTTGGAGAAGAATTAGACAGTTGATAGTGTTGCTTTCAGCACAGCTGTGCTCATACCCATGGTGAAGAGGAGAGGCTGTTTGTGGAGAAAGAAGTAAATGGCACTGGTTTTCCTTTATTTTTTTTACATTGATCTTACCATCAATTTTTAAGCAATAGAGGAAGTTGAAAGTAGGGTGACTCTACTAAATTCTACAGTTGTCACCCAAATAAAGACCTGTTAGAGTTTTCTAGAGCCTGTATGTCACCACTTCCTTCTCTTTGTAGTTCATCTTAGTACGATATAAGTGTAGCCAACAGAAAGAATTCAGAATGGAAGGTTACCTATACACTCCATTAAAATACATTATATTGCCTCAGTTCTTATCAGAGTGCTGTCCTGATGAAGACATCCTATGAAAATTCTGCACCCCTTTAACTATTGTCGTTTTCCACTGAATAGTTTATTTCTGATTTGTAACCACATTTGAACTTCCTGTGCTTGTGCTTAACCTGGTTGCTTAACCGTAAAGGCAGTGCTGGGAAAAGTTATATTTTTGTCCTATAGTTCTCAAAATCTTCCAGCAGGCACTTTTTTCTGTTGGTATTCCCCACGCCTGTACTTAACTCCAAATTCTGCCTATGCAAATTCCTCATGACTTCTGACTCTCCATCAGTTTGTCACATATTTGGATCAGGGAGAGAACAGAAACAGAAAATACAGCAGTAGTGAAGTCTTGGACTGCAGGGAAAACTTGCATCGGGGCCTTTCAATTTCCACAGTTAGTGTTGTTTAGAAACAGCCTGCTCAATCCCAAATGTTTCCCTCAGTGATGAGCACATACTGCTAACTCTGTTGTAACCATGGCTTCAAAGGCAGGACTATGGATACAGATATGCCTCCCCTGTAATACTGCTGGTCTTTACCTGATGTATGCCTCAATTTCCTCCTGTGAAAAGACTAGAGAAGTGGTAGGAAGAGAAAATGTCCTTAAGACAATCCTGCCCCTTGATCGAATGTGGTAAGTTGCAGGACTGCTTTTACAGGACCTTTTTTCTTGTTACTGTTTAGTTTTTCTGAAGAGGATTGAAAAGGATGAACTAATTCTCTCCAGGAAACTATTCCATTAAGAGCCATATCTGTACCTAAGGACTGACTCATTTATTTTGAACATAGAAAACATGAAGGTTGCCTAAATATCCTGGAGATACCAGATCTTTTTTCATGCTGGAAGCTAAGCAAGGTCAGCTCTGGCTAAAATGTGAAAGGAGGAAGTGAGTGCTGTAGACCGTGTTTCAGAGGAAGGCAAGGGCAAGCCACCTCTAAGTGATCCTTGCTTATGAAAACACTGGAATTCAAAGGATCAACATTAAGTCAGTAGACAATGTAAAGGCACATATATACATCATACACAGGTCTCTGTCATTTATTAAAGCCCCTTTGAGTGCAGACAGTAACTGAAATAGGCAAAGAAAACTGAAACAAAGAATTATACCAGCCTTTGAGGGAACAACACAAACTCCAATTACCATACTTCTCCTTGCTGAAACCCAAAATGGAACGCGTTCCCTTTCGGCCTCCCAGGAGTCCTGTGAGCCCCAGGGCTTTTTGGGTTTGCCTCTTAATCAGAAAGTACACGGCAACTGAGTTCTCAAAATAGGGTGTGCACAAACTAAGACTTCAGCCATTTGCTTTTGCAGAGTATACAGTGAAGGGCAAATCTCCCCCCTCCCAAATGAATGCAAGCTACTTTTGTATTTTGAACTTAAAGTAGCCTTAAGACAAAAGAGGAATGTATGAGGAGACAGAAACTGCAAATATATCCATATATGTATATTTGTTTTTACAATTATTGTACTATATTATTGATAGCAAACTTCCGTTATCACATATCCATAGTCTGCCCCACTTTGATGATACAGACTAAATCCTGTTTAAATAATACCATTTATTATTATTCACTAAATCCCATGCTCTGGAATTTCACACTCAAAATCCAATAACAAGAGTGTGTCAAAAGGAGTGGTTCATGGTGATGTTATAAAGTGTGTTGTTATCAGCCACTATTTCATTCAAATAGTAAAAACAGTCTAACAAGTTAAAATATGTCTTTATCTGGATATTAAGTAATACAGGCATGTTAATCAATAGGAAGAAAAAACAAGGCAAATTTTCCCAATCCTATTTTTAACATCTTTGCAAGCACTGTTTTTGGTAAGATGTTGGAGTTGTAGTGCAGTCAAATAAACTTTTCAGGACAAAAATAGAATTTTTCAGACTGAGTTTAATAAGCATGCACCATTAATAAGTGCCCCTCACAGAAAAATATATTTTAGACAGGACATCAGAGTTCAACAGGCGATCCCATCTATAGATGTTTATTCAAGAGCATGGCCTAACAGAATTTAATACTTACTGCTTTACAGGGTTAAATCTGCAATGTATCTCAGTCATATTTTCCTTCAGGAGGATAAAAGGAGAAATAGCTGAAGAGGAAGAAGGGAGAAGAAGAATGAAGATTGTGAATGTATTTAGGAGAAGCAGGAAGAAGCAGAAAAAAGAGGATGAAAGAAGGAAATAGTGAAATGGGAAAGGAGGAATAACAGAAACATAGCTATGATAATTAAGAAGGTGAAAGAGAAAGAGAGACAGGAAGGGCTGTCAGGAAGAAGGAAGATGACTGATATGGGAAATATGGGCAGTGATGAGAGGAGAGAGAGAGAAGGGAAAAGATAACATTTAGCCAGATGTAGTGGACTAAAGAGAGAAATGTGGGGAAGGAAAAGGGGATGAGATGGATTGGAAAAGAAAAGAAGCCATTAAGCCAGGAGTTTCAAGTGGAAAGAGGAGAAAGAGGGCAAAGGGGTGGAAGAGAGAAAGAGAAATAGGATGAGAAAACAAAATATGAAATTAAAGTGCTTAAACAGGAAGAAAGACATGCATATCTCACTGATTTCTAACAATGATACAACTCATCTGTGCTTCAAACTAAAGAAGGAAGTTGTTCTGTAACTTAAGAGTAGGGTGTGGAAAGTGGAAACAGAATTAGGAAAGTTAAGACTGTGATAGGAAAATCCAACAAGCAGCATTCCTGAAAATGAATTTAGTCACTTCCAAGGCAGTGAAACATGATATGTCCCTACTCCGACTAATCCCTCCCACTATATTCTGTGGCAACCATAGTTTCAGAAACTTAGAAATGAGGAGGAGGGATAAAGATCTTAGACAAATAGACCTCCCATTTCCCAACCAAGCCCAAGCTCAGTCATGCCAAAGTAGCATTGCAAAAGGAGACCAAGCTGCACACATATTATTTTCAAAACATCATTTTCACTCTTAAGATTATTCCCTTTCTGCAGATATACATGAGCATATACAAATCTTTGCACACTTTTCTCCAATTTTTGGTGATGTATTTCCCCTTGTTTGGCAGTGCTCAGTTCTCTGTCCAGGATAACTGGTAGTTGATATAGTTGTGACAGCAAGGCAGCTATTATATCCGTTTGAGACAATGCAAGAATCAAGATGCTGAATAAATCGCTTTCATCAGTTACCTCTTAGACTACAAGGCCTTCTGATTAAGAGAATAGCAGTGATACCTATAACTTAGTAGATGAAGAAGGCCACATAGTCATTCACGCTCTATCCATTAATGTCCTTCTTCCAAAAAAAGTCACAATATTGGTTATTATTAATATTACACTGTTCTCATTAGGCTTCAGAGTTAGCATACAATCTCCCAAATGCTGCTTCCATCTGAAACAGTGGGAAGTCCTGACTGAATATCTGAACATTGTGAATGTCACCAAGCTTAAAGAAGATCTGTGCTTCACCACTGACCAAGTCCTGCTCAGTTCTGCCTTGCCTAATAGGCAAGGCAGAGCCTGCCTTGCTTTGCATCGTTTGTACTGGACTGGCAAGAGCAGATAAAGGAATCGAGAATATCGGTAAGAGCCGCTCTGTGTGCAAGAGTGACTGTCCCAGTCTGGGCTGTGCACTATGTTGCAGCTTTTAACAGTGGCTGAGGGTTCCAGTGGCTGGGGCTTGTTGCAGCATGTTTGTGGGAAGGTGTGGGGCCTTGCTGTTGTCTCTGCTGCCCAGCTCAGCTCACTCCTTCTGAGAGGTGTCTGTCCCGTTGTGGTGTCTGTCTATCTTGGTTGTCAATAACAACCATTTATCTAAGGAGATGAGCTTCCAGAACTTGGCTGATATTATGCCTAACTGACCAACATTAATCTGACTGTTCTACCCTTACATTCCTCCCGTCAAACCCATTACCGCATTTCTGGTTCCTTCCCCACCCCCACCCCACCCTACCCTGGCCCTATGTCTCCCCTTTGCCTTTATATTTATTTCATTCTCTCTTTCTCTTTCCCGTTTCTGTGTGCACCGCCTTGTATGGCTGCGACAGAGGAGGAAGGCGCGACCGCGAGGGAATAATCTCAGTGTATGTACTGCAGCCTGGGCTCCTAGCTCTGTTCGCTCGCCGCCTCCCGTTCCCTCCCCTGGGGCTCTTCAGAGTGGAAAGCTGCCAACTTGAGATGTCTGTCCTCATGCACTCCCCTTTCCTTCCCTCTCTTTCTCCCAGACCCATACTGTGATCTTCCCAGCTGCTATTTGCTTTTTCTGCATTAAAGGCTATACAGGCAAAAAATCTCGCTCTTCAGTCTGCTCCTCATCTTGTCTTCATCTTGTCTCTTCATTAAGAGTGTCATCCTGCATTCATTCTTTCATTTATTCACATTCTTCCATAAGTGTCTACATTATTTTCCTTCTGCTTCTACTCTCTGCTTCTGGCCACACATTTGCTTTCCTGCCTCATGATAGTTTCTAAATACTGTGTGTGTGTGCTAAATATTCCCTCAGCATTCCAGCTTAGCAGCCAGCTGGGTATTCTGTTCTGTTGTCACTCCAATTGAAACTGATCATTTGGCAAAGGAGCCTTTAGACCAATTTCTCTCTTTCTCTTGCTCTCTTTCTGATGCCTCTCAGAAAAACACCTCTATATCATTCTGCAACACCATAAACATTCCAATCATCGCTTTACTCCTCCCTCCTCCTCCCTTGATTCTGTTGCTATTCTCCTTTGGCTGAGGTCACAAAGGAGCCAACCATTCATGCAGCCAAGTCCTGCTTCCATTTTCAGTAATCTTTCAAGAGACCAACTGTGCTCTCCTGTGACATCTTAAAGGCTTCATAGGTTCAAGCCCACTTCATCAGATGCATCTTCCTTTCTCGGATGTTCGTATGTTTGTTACTTCCCCCTTCAGGGTTGTCTACATCAGCAACACAATCCAGTTCAGAGTATCCTGTTCCAGAGATGCCCTGGATTCCCCACCCTTAGTGCCATACCTCCTTGTTATAGAGCACACTGACATTGCATTTATGGCCATACATTTCTCCTGCCCAAAATCAGAGCAGGCCCACTTTTTTCCTCCCCCACCGCTACACTGCTATTCATTCCCCAGCCAAGCCCAGCATGGGATCAAGAGTAATCTCATGGCTGGGCACCTGGTTCTGAGCAAGCAGCTTCACAAGTGGGGCTGGAAAGTGCTGGAAAAATGCTTTGCAGGGAAGGCAGCAATGGTGATTCAGCTGCCCTGAGGAGAAACCCACAGTAGATTTTGTGTTTTCAACCGTGAGAGCCCCAATCTATACAGTTTTTTAATGGTGACACTTGCCACCCAGCAATCTGTCCCACCACACCACACCACCCTCGCCTCCCCCAATCCAGGTGGACACACTAGAAAAACAATGCTTTTTCCTGGAAATGATGGGGCAAGAAGTTAAAGGATTTTAATGCATTAAATCCTAGAAGAAATACTTACATTGTTCCTCCAGCACCAGAATAGAGGTGGCTATGGTCCTTTCTTTCTTTCTTTCTTTCTTTCTTTCTTTCTTTCTTTCTTTCTTTCTTTGTTCCTTCCTTCCTTTCTTTCTTTCTTTCTTTCTTTCTTTCTTTCTTTCTTTCTTTCTTTCTTTCTTTCTTTTTGTGTGAAGACAACCACTTATTGTCTTTCTCTTCCTCCACCTGTGGATGCATTCAGTGAAGTGGGCTCTAGTTCATGCAAACTCATGTTAGAATGATTGCCTTTTGGTATATGGTTTTGTGTACAGTGAAAACTGGAAAACAGGAAAAGTGATTATGCATACTGTGTGTGCGTCTTCCTTTCTGCTCAATATGTAGGTAACCTGGGTTCAACCAGCAATTCTCTATAGTTAATTAACTGCTTGGTATGATATGAGACTTATGGCTTGGGGGCACTTGAAAAATGTATGTAAGACTCAAAGTGAACTCTGCAGAAAGTCCTAACAGGGATTAAGTTTTTCCAAATTTTATTTTTTAATGCTGGTTTTGGTACCAGAAAGAATGCTGCATGTGGAAAATTCAAATTTTTAATTAGAAATGACATTTGCTTAGTTTTCAGATCTTACATTTCAGGCTAATTGGTGTTTTCTTTTTTTAAATGATTTATAGCATTATAATATTGTATAGAAGTTGTTTTTGTAACTTCAATTTTACAAATTTTCAAAAAGTTTTTTTATTATATTGAATAGGAAGACCTCTTTTAAAAATGGTAAAGGTTTCCCTTTTATCAGAAGTTATGAAAACAATTTCCACATAAGTTTGTAATAATGATTCCAAAAAAATACCATAGATTGTTTTTAATTATTCTAAGAGTGCTTGAACATGAGGAGTTCTAAAAATCATGAATTGCTTTGCTCTATGATGGAACTTTGCAAGGAATTCAACTGATAACCCTCTTCCATTTGTAAACCTCTTGTATTTCTTCATCAGTTCTTCTATCAGTTTTCTTTCCACAAAAACAAGCCACTGAAGGGAAGAAACTATAATGGTTCCACAATACCATTTGAATTGTAATACTAGGAGCCCTCTGTCTGAAAGCACCGAAGTCAAATCAGTGATTTTTCAAACCTGGATATAAATGGCTTTTTCAAAATTTAAACAACTTCCAAGATGGGGTGTTGTGTAGTTTCCAGTCTGTATGGCCATGTTCTAGCAGTATTTTATCCTGATGTTTCACCTGCATCTGTGGCTGGCATCTTCAGTGGATGCCAAGATCTTCAGAGGATGCCAAGATCATCATTGAGTCACCAGGATTCTTCCTCTATCAAGGGGACACTTCTCAGAATGGATACAAACATTCTGTGCAGCCTGAGAAAAGATGGTGAATCCTATCATTCCTCAATTGTTTGTATTACTTGCACATGATAGATACCAATGGAGGTTTTTCTAATTAGAAGATTGCAAGAAAGTATCTGAACCTCTTTTCTCCATTGAGGCATGAGTAGCTAGAAGTGGAAAGCATTCCATCTCTTGAACAGATTACTAGGAGAAAAGGGCTCCTAGCTAAGGAAACAGAAGGAGCTTGGTTTAGTTCTTTGTGGTAATCTTTCAATAGCTGAAAAGGCAACCAGGAGTTACACACGTCTAATCTTCAGTTATTTAGGACTGGTGAAGTATATGCTGATAAACATACATTTTATGAATGTTAACTGAGGACTATGTTGTACTAGAACTACAGCTTTATTTGCTCATTTTAATTGGATAATAATAATAATAATAATAATAGTAATAATAATAATAATAGCTTGTATTTGTAACCCCCTCTCTTCATAGCTTGAGGTGGTGTACAACATAGTTAAAACATTACCATCAAATGCATATATTAAACACATTACCACAAAAAAGATATATTAAAATACATAGTAAAACACAATACAAATAGAATGTAAATTTAAAATTCATAGTTTAAAATTGACTGGGTAGGTCTGCTGGATAGGTCTTCAATTTTATCTTGAATTATGACAGCTCAATTAACTGCCAGATTTCAGTAGATCATTCCACAGTCTTGGGGCAGCCAATACAAAGGGCCTCTGGGTAACAGTTGCCAGTTGGGTTCTGGTCAGCTGGAGTAGTGCGGGGCAGTTTATCTGGAAGAAGACAATCCTGTAGGTAACCTGGACCCAAGCCATGTATGGCTTTAAAGGTCAAAACCAACACTTTGCATTTGCCTAGAAACTAATTAGCAACCAACGGGGTGACCTTAGTATGGGAGTAATATGCACACTCCTAGATGTTCCCATAACCAACTTGGCTGCCATGTTTTGACTGAGCACCAAGAACAATGCCTATGTTACAATTGTTTTTAATTACCCTATACTTGTCTCGTGATGTTTTGTATTGATGTTGTTCACCGCTTTGAGTCGCCTGAGGGCTGAGAAAAGCAGTATATAAATAAAGTAAATAAATAAATAAATAATAACAGATGGCCAGGGACATAAATGGCCAGGGACATAAATGAATAGTCTAGTACTAAAGATATCTGAGAGTTGAACATTATGAATTTTAGCTTTTTTATAAGAAACAGTCTGAAGTAAAAAAAAAAAAACCAAGGGTCTTGATGCTCATGATTAAAATGAATGGTTTATAATGACACAAGCTTTTTCACTAAAATTTGTATATGTGAGAAATATTACCAAAACAAATTATAGAATTCCAGGAAGAGCCTGAATCTGTATTCTGCACAAACAGAATGCAGACTTACTGACATCTGGGTAACATTGATGGTTCCTGCACAGAAAATGAATGATTTCCAACTATAGAAGCAATAAGACGGAAGGATGCTATCTACCCTCAAATGTTTTAAACATCCAACTCCTTTTTTCTGTTATACCATCTGCACAAAAGTTCAAACAAGTATGGCTCATTGGCATTTTGTCACTGGTATGCATCTGATGGTTTTTCAAAGTCAGTTGCCCAAAATAAGAAAAACTAGCATAGATAGTTTTTTCAAGAAAAGAGATGCTAAGCAATTCACCAAAATCACCAATGAATTGTTTTGAAATTACCAGATATTTCCTGCATCGGGATTTATCAGGTATAGGTGGTTTAAATTTCTTCTCTGATGGAGAAAGAGACAAAATGGAGAGGTCAGTATCTGATGGTAAACAGTTATTTGTAGCCAATATGGAGGATCCCTGGAATTGGCTCAAACATCTTACTGGATTTTCTAATGACCGTCTTTTCTTTATTAGCGCATGATGTATTTGTGAAGTGTTCTGTGTTTTCTCACTTTGCTTGCTAAAATTGCAATGTTGGGGAAAATGCCACTACACTTATTTCCTGTTGTATTCTCCATTATCAATAGTGTTCTTTGAAGAAGAAAAGGTTATCCAGCTGTTAAATTATACACTTTTAAAAATGTATTCTGTTAGCAACCCTTTCCACAGACCACTGTCACTGCTACATGCTCCTTCTGTCTCTTTCAACCAGTTGAAATATATTCTGATAAAATTATGAGGTTATAAGGCCAGATTACTTGCCTTTAATGGTGTTCTTTGCATGGTCATTGGTGCATCTCCAACTTTGAGTTCTGGGCCCGCACACTACCTGATTTGGAAAGCAATAGAGCTTAAATGCTTTGAGGAAGAAACTACTTAGCCTGCCTTCCATTTTCTTTCACATTTCATTCAGGTTTTCACAACAAATTAGGAATCAAGATTGTACTTATTCAGGCTTGGAAAGTGAGTTGTGTAAATGCATAGAACTGCACAAAGAAGATGGGGAAGGAAAGATAATTTACCCCATCACAGACTTTCGGAGGGCTGTTAAACTACAGATACAGTTCATGCGGCAAATTACTGCTAGTGAACGGACATGAAACCAGCTTTGCAAAAAAAACTTTGCAAAATACATTATAACCACACTATTACATATTATGCAGCCTCTTTCATTTTCATGGCTGATTCTGAAAGTCTACATCTATTGTTTTGAAGTTTATGTGGGTGCTGGTGTCTGGTGATCTTTTTGGAAACATCCTGCCTTAAAGTAGACTGAGGCCCTATCTACACTGCCATATAATGCAGCTTGAAATCACATTATATGGTCAGTGTAGAGTCATATGATAGAGTTGAAGTACACTGAACTGCATTACATGAGGCCCAGGACCTCTCTGGCTGAAAAGCCCCTCCCTAAACTGTAAATCCCAGGATTCAACAAGAGGCAGTCATGGAATTTAAAGTGGGATCCCAACTCTTTAACAGTGTAGTGTGGTAACAATGCAATTTCAATCTGCATTACATGGTCAAATTATGATAAATCATTGCCATTTTTAATTTTTGCTTGCTAGAATGTGATAGAAGATGCACTAGAGCTGCTTTTGAAGATAAGGGACTATTATATGAAGTATTATATGAAGTATGTGGAAATAAGATCACATACCAAATTGCATTTTAATTGTCATGAGTGATGTCCAACATTTCTTCTATGATGGATTGAGCCCTGTAATAAAAACTATATAGGCATCATCATCAAGAATATAACTAACATCCTTCTGATAATATAATGTTTTTGAGATTACTTAAAACAGAAGTCCCAAATATATGTTGACTATACATTAGATAATCTACTCCAACACCTATCCATTGCCCTTTGGACCGTATCACAAGACTTGATACAGTGGTGGGACCTTCAGTAGGCATCCAGGCCCCAAGTGTGTTTCCTGCTTTAAATAAAACGAATTCACAATCAAAATCTGCTTTTAAATCCATAACATATCCTGCAAAGTGGTAAACAGCACTGTAGATTACTCCGTATAGATACTTCTTGGTCAAAATTAGAATTACGAATCATAGGCCTATATAGATGCTATTTCTTTATTTATTTCGAGCATTTATATCCTGTTCTTCTCACCTCCAAAGAGGGACTCAGGACGGCTTACAATAGGCAACCATTAGATGCCAAACAATACATTAAAGCACACAGTTACAATTAAAACAGCAATTAAAACCATTATAAACATTCAATTTAAAACAGTCCATATGACAGTATATAAATCGATCCTGGTATTTTGTTACATTAACTTGCAGCGTGCAAATAATGTCTAAATCTAAATGTATAATATTCACATAAAGTAATTGATTTATTGTAACTTTTTATAGTACACCTGATAGATTTTAATATTTTTTTTTTAGCATTCTGAAATTCAGAAGAAATATTCTGTAACACATAGGTTTTATTTCATAAAGTGACACCGGCTAGAAAACACACTTTATAAGTAATAGCATCCTTCTGTTGATGCACAATTCTATAAATTAAATTTTTCACTTGATCCCCTTTGTTCATGGTGATGATGTTTGGAATTTAAGTAAAAAGGCAAAATTGCTTCCTTTATCTTGATGGAAACCCTTATGAGAGGTGGTCTAAATACCTAAGACAGACTCTGTGATATGGTAAATGCATCATTAGGATAGCTCGTCTTGACATTTTTTAAACAGATTCTGTAAAAAATAGTAAATACAAGGCATCATGTGATGTACATCCTCTCTCCCTCCCCCCCCCCCCCCCCTCTCTCTCTGTCTCTGCATTTATGTATACATTTTTGCAATGTTTGGGGTTTTTTCTCTGGCCATTTTTCAACTAAAGTATTTGTTTTTTGTTGATTGCTTTTATAGATCACAAGATCACCCCAGGAATCATGGGTTTGAGCCAATCTTTGTCTGTAATTTTTGAGGATACCTTGAATAACTTTGTCATTAAAGATGTCTACTTAGAATGAGATAGTGTAAAGTCCACCAACTCCTGTCAAGGAAAACATAACAGAGAACTCATATCAAACTTCAAGGCTCAGATTTCTAAAGTCCTATTTTAAGAAAGGAACTGCAAGAGAGTCTTTATAGGAGAAGTGCAGAGATTAGATGGAAATCTGAGAGACTGCTCCTCATTCTAGTCGTAATGGGCTGCAAAATATTGAGGGTTTCTATGCAGTTTTAGATTTTATTTCTAATGAATTGATTTCAACAAATTACCTGACACGTGAATTAGTGACTCATTGGTGCACATTCATTTGCTTCATGATTTTGTTGTAAGAGATAGCAGAACAGTGAAATATAACTGATCAATCTCAGTCCAGCCTATAATATAAACACAGTAATATATTGACAACAGAATACAGATACTTAGCACTTATTCAGAGAAGAATTAGCCATCAAACTAATCAAGAGTAGATTAAATAAGACTCTTCTCCAAGCTTAAATTATCTCATAATGACTTCTCAAATAGAAAGATAGAAGCAGGTCTCTTTCCTCTTATATTCACAGAGGAAACAGTACCATCCATGGTGCTAAGGAACTACACTGGAATCATGCCTGCTGGTTCCTGTTGTACTGAAATGAGACAAAGTAAAAACAGATGGGAAACATGACAAAAGCAATTAATAGTTAGCAATGAAAACAAAATGTCCAACTTGTCTGAAAGCCTGGCTTAGAAGCTTTTATGACACAGCTAGGCAAGAGCCAGTGACCTTGTAGGACTACATACCTATATTTTTTTAAAAATTACCCCCAAATGCTCTGCTAGCACTTCCTATAGTAAAACAAGGCATCTTCTAAGTGTCATATGGCCCCGGGGACAAAAATGGCCCAGGGACTACTTGGGAGCATTTCGGGGAGAAAACTAGGAAGCTGAAGGGCTGCTTATGGCCCATAGGCCACACTTTCTCCACCCATGTGTTATGGCGGTCCAGGTGCACCATACAACTTGTTGGTGTAAAGAAGCTTCCCTCCTGGTGTAGCTGGTTTCCCTGTGGTTTCCTTCCCAGGGTTTTTTCATGACAAGAAACAATGGAAGCAGTGGGCAATAGCACAACATAGTTTGCTCCAGAAGGGGACATTGTGTAACAATATACCACTTCTCAGTGAAAAAATCCAGTTACAGTTAACTCTAAATAGCATCCAGTGACACATGTCTGTTTATGGCAGTTGATATGAAAAAGTATCTGCTGAAATGCAGGTATTCTTATAAATATGTCATTTTAACTTCCTTGTCGTACTCATTTTGGGGAGAAAAATAATATGGCTTGACAGTAACTATATCCATACATACATTCCTCATCTGACCCAGAAGGAGAAGGGGGCTCAGTGGTGACAGGATGGAGAGCTGGGATTATGGAAGTCGCATGTTGGCAACATCTGGAGAGCCATATTTGCCCTCCCTGCTATTGTTTTTGATTGAACTGTATTTGGTTGAAATTGATGTCATTATAGCCACATATCATATCCCTTTTCCTGCTAAATCCATGGGATTTTACCATCTCATGTGAAGCCATTACATTATTGTTCTGTGTTTCTCTCAAATTCCAGACCATCACAGATGCAAGCCCAATGAAACGTTCTGCCTCCATGTTGGGCCACCCACGATCCAAAGGCATGCGCTTGGATGACTACTCTCTAGAAAGAGTAATTCCAGAAGAGAACCAACGGCATCACAGGCGTAGGGAACGGAGCCACCGGACATCAGAACGCTCTCTTAGTCGATATACAGATGTGGACACAGGTTGGACTGTTGGATGAGAGTGGGAACCTAGATGGTTGGGGAACCTGGAGATCTCCAAACATGATTAGAATACTACAGCCATTGTTTTTTATCTTGATTGTGCACTAGGAATAATAAGGAGTTGAAATCCAATCACATATGGAGAGGTATTTGTTTCTCACCTGTGTTTTAGAGGTTAATACTGCAGCATTGCTCACTCTAGAATAGGTACAACCTTTCAAATTCACACAACTCCAGATAATAAATTACATGCAAATTAAAGTTTCAAAATTATGGTACCAATCAGATGTTATATTGAAGAATATGCATCTTGAACTAGAATTAGGAAACAATGAAAGAAATAATGTATATGTAATATCTCCCTTTCTCACACAATAATGCCACTTGCAGTGCATTAAAATACTATTACATGCAAACCTTTATGTATCTGATGAAGTAGGCACTAACTCATGAAAGCTTGGGCCATAATATGTCTCTGAGTCTTTAACAAATTGCAAGATTGGAGTGTGGGGGAGAGACTCAAGCCAACCAGACTCATTGATTTCAAAATGATGGACTTTTCCTTCTGTAGAATGCTAGGTGAAAAAAAGCAATTGCGAAGTATATTTCCGTTGCATCCTAGCCATGGGACACCTTTTTACCCAGACACCATGCAGGGACAAGAGAATCCAATAAGTAAAGTTTATTAAGAAAAATATAAAAGATAATAAAAAAGCACAATCAAAAGAACAATCAAAAATACAAAATACAAATCCAGAAGCTCCAAAGTTACTGAGTATAGGAGACAAATCAGTTTCATCAATCAAAACACAGGAATTCAAAAACTTGGAACTTCACTTTGAAGCAATATAGTGAAACAAGGCAACATTCATACTCTTGTTCAAAATTATATCCAGAACTAGAGAATCAAACAGAGAATAAACCAGATCAAAAACCATGAAGCCATGAACAGGAATTAAAAATCCAGAAACTTGAAACTTAACCAAGAATACATGAACAATGGGCTTGGGCGGTTTCGTTCGTTAATTTCGTAATTCGTTATTAATTCGTATTTAAATTAGTTTACGATCCGATATTGAGCCATGCAGGAGTAATTAAAAATCGAAACATTTTTTTCAATTTATTTCGAAATTGTTTCGAAATTGTTTCGAAATTGTTTCCGTATGTCTGGTGCAAGTTTTAGGGTTGTTGTTTGTTTTATCAGTGATAAAAAATAAATTATCACACCAACAGTCAACAACAGAGGGAGAGGGAAGCTTCAGAAGTTCCCCCTGTCCCATTTGGAGGGTTTTTTAGCATATTGCGCAATCGCGTCCGCCATTAACGAATCGACTCGTAATTGTTTCGTAATTGTTTCATAATTTTACGAAATTTCATATATTTTGAACTTTTTTAAAGAAAAACTTCGGAATTCTTTTAAAAAACGAAACGCAAAAGCCCCCTAAAAACGAAACAAGTTTAGAACCAAATTTTTCCGTAGTTACCCAAGCCTAATGAACAAGACACAAAATACAGAAACTTGAACACTTGAAGCAAGGCCCTAGAACTCAAGAGTTGTTCTCACAAAGAGCTGTACTCTTGGAGCCCACTTAAGACCTCAATTCCCTCCCATTACATCACTCCTCATACACCTGGTTTTTCACTGCTTATCTCAAATCCACTGGGAAAAGCAAATCTGTCTCTCTTTCACATTCTTGTGGTGCAGCTGCTCTGAACTAGGAAAAGACTCACTCTTCCTCACATTCCTCTCAGGAGCAAACTCTGGCAGATTCTCATGGGAACAGATTTTGCTTTCTCTAACATCCTGAGAACTGGGTTTTTGTAGGTTTTTTCGGGCTATATGGCCATGTTCTAGAGGCATTCTCTCCTGACGTTTTGCCTGAATCTGTGGCAAGCATCCTCAAAGGTTGTGAGGTCTCAGACCTCACAACCTCTGAGGATGCTTGCCATAGATGCAGGTGAAAGGTCAGGAGAAAATGCCTCTAGCACAGTGGTTTTCAACCTGGGGTCCTCAGATGTTTTTGGTCTTCAACTCAAAGAAATCCTAACAGCTGGTAAACTGGCTGGGGTTTCTGGGAGTTGTAGGCCAAAACACCTGGGGACCCATAAGTTAAGAACCACTGCTCTAGAACATGGCCATATAGCCTGAAAAAAAATGTACAACAACCCAGTGATTCCAGCCATGAAATTTCTAGAGGTTGGGTTGTACAATGAACCCAGCCTGAGATTTGTGGACCTTCATTTTCCCTTTCCCTGCAGCCAATATGTCACGAGCTATATATGGAGCCTACACACACCTCTGATGTGTCTGATCTGCTGATTATTAAAAGCAGACAAACCTTAATCCACATGCGAAGAAACATTTGACTGCCAAAGTAGACATGATGATCAAAAGGTTCTCCCACAACTTACTGAAATGCTAATCAGCAGCTGGAGCAAGAGTAGCATTATTTTACTAGTTATAACCAATCTTCTGAAGCTATTTTTTGCCCAACAGAGCAAAGCTCACATATCATATCGTTATCTTGTGGATTCCCCTGTGAAACAAATAGCATCTCCAAGAGCATAATTTTAATGGGGGGGATGCATTGGGGATTTATTTTAAAAATGAAACTTTCCCCATAATTTGTAGTTGAAACTGACATCCAACAATCCATAACTGCTGTCTTTCTCCTCCTTATCAGGACTTGGCACAGACCTCAGTATGACCACACAGTCGGGCGATCTACCTCCCAAAGAGAGAGACCAAGAAAGAGGCAGGCCAAAGGACCGGAAACACCATCACCACCATCATCACCACCATCACCATCACACATCTTCTGACAAGGAACGGTATTCACAAGAGAGGCATGAATATGGCCGGCCTCGTTCCAGAGATCGACGTTGGTCCCGCTCACCCAGTGAGGGCCGAGACCACATGCCTCACAGGCAGGTGGGTGTGGCTTTCCATTCCATGCTGCACCCCTAGGGACCGAGGCAGGCACTTCAGGTGCTGCAGAAATCTCTACTCCTGGAGAACCCAGCTCCAGCGACCCATCCAACTGCTCATCAGTTTCTGGATCTCTGTGATGAGAGTTCAAGACCTTTTCTGGCCCAAGCAGAACTTGTAGGCTCTGTAGACATGACAGCTGCATCTGTAGGGATGAGCAAACTAGTCTATTCCTAAGGGTCATTTCATGTTACCAACACAGTGTACTGAGAGTGGGGGATGAGAATGATTGAACATTCTCCTAAGCACAATTTTGGATTTAAACAACATGAGAGCATAGGACTAATGTTGCTGGATCAGGCTTGAGTTCACCTGGTTTAGAATTTTGCATTCAATAGCCAAATTACTTCCTAAAATCTCAAAAAGGATATGACGCAATGAGTTCCCCTTATAGTTTGCTTCCATGATCTGCTCCTTAGAGATGGGCTTCTTCTGAACATTGAGAAGTTACATTTAGCCATCAGAGCTAATACTTTTTAACAAGCAAGCTATGGCATGTTTTTATTTTATTAACATCTATCACTTCTACTGTAGTTATCTTTTATTCTGATATCTCAAATGGCTTAGCTTTTCAACACAGAGAACATACTCCAAATCTTGATTTGCTTTAATTATTTTTTTAGTACAGTCAGCTCTCTATATTCGCTGGGGTTTAGGGGCACAGGACCCCTCTGAAAGTGAAAAATCTCGAATGAAAATTGCTATTTTTTTACCTGAGAAATCACATCTCTAATAATCTGTAGGATCTCCAACGCAACTCTGTGGTTAACTTGCACTGGACACTGAACACTGAATCACACTAGAAATCCAAGAAATTCCTAGAGAGGCATTCTATCTAGGAATCTTTAGGTCCTCCAGTGAGATTCTAAGATCAACTTCTGACAGAAGTTGATTGTAGTAATGTACCAGAGGACCTAGAAATTCCCGGAGAGAAATTTTTATTCAAATCCGTGAATACCCAAATCAACAAAAATCAAACCTTCAAATGTGGATGGCTGACTGTATTTTCTACCTCTATTTCTATGTCTATTTTTAATTAATATGGGGAGATCACAAGTGTATCCTCAATATAGCTGCAGTACAACTATACAATATTTGCATTATTTATTCAGCTGCATTATTTATTCAGCTCTATAATATGATGGACCTCTCACATGCCTGGCTTTGTGCATGTGAGATGCTAATTTGTTTTTAGTTGTGGCTATTCTGCCTTGTAGTCTTATAGCAGCAAGTCCTATATTTTGAATCACAAAAATACATTGGCCCTAAGTGGAGTATAGAATTTGTTTAAGTATATATGGGTAATAATTTGTTTAACAATAAATGACATTTTCAGAAAAGTGGACATCTTAGTATAAAAAGGGAATGTAAACCTAATCCTGCAGCATCTTTAGAACCTACCAATTTATTTCAGCAAAGTTTTAATGGGATACAACTCACTCCTTCTAATGCTGAAATAAATTGATTAAAGGTATCACAAGAATACTTTTTGTAACTAATGATTAATGCCACAATTTCACACACACCAATTCCACTGGTGCTGAATTACACAATTTTAACTTCCATCATCAAAGACATCATGCCATTTTTAAGATTTTCCAAACTAAGGCTTTACTTTCCTCTTTCTATCCAATTGTTCAGAGCTTATGTGCTCCTCTGCTGAAGCAAATCATGTGAAGACAATGGGATGCATTTGCAGCAATGTCTTTTCTCTTACAAAGTTGGCCTCATTGTGTAATGCCATTTTTAACCTTTTAAAAGTCTTGCTTTTACAATAATGCAGGTTCTTGGTTTTCTAAAGGACAGCAAGGACTTCTTATTGTTGTTATAGCAGCAATGTAGAACATTAGGGCTATGTACCTGAAAAGGTTATCTGGGGATGTTATGTCACGGTATTATCACTGAAACGTCCTATGTGGAGGTTTCTTGCTATAATGGCTATCTGAACAGACTTCATCTGTCCCATACGGGGATCACCTGAGTACAAAAGGCGGATGGAGACCTTTCTGCGGGAGCCCCTGGTAGAAGAGTCATAACATATATCAAAATTACACATTGACATGGATTTTGTGTCAGATTTACAGTAATGCTTCCCATCCTCCCCCAAGATTCTCAGAAATTGTAATCTGTTACAGCTTCTAAGGATTTTGTTGGAGAACTCTGTTTCTTAGGCAATTGCCAAAAGCCTGTATTGTAAACAAATACATACAAACAAGGACTCCCATTGGTGAGATTCAGAAAAGTAAAAGAATGGGCAAATGGATGACATTTCCTACTGGAGCAGTACTGCACATGAAAGGGCTTGATTTCCAGTAACAAAAGCAGAGGAAACCCTCTGATCTTTTTCTTCAAGTGATTGCCTTCTTTATCCCACCTCAACTGCTGCTTCATCCAACAGTGCTCTCATCTGTCCCACCCCACCCCACCTGTTCATCCTTCTCTGAGACCCATGGCACACAATGCACGGCACATTTAATTTGCCTGTTCCTGCCTTCCTGTTGCTTTATGCTTACTACAAGTAGAGACAGAAAAGGCTTCTCAAGCTATATTTCTGCCTGTACATCTATGGTGAATGACATTTTTGAGGCTATCTGGCTGAGACGGTGGTGGGAAATTCTGTTAATGGGAGTATCAGAGGAATACTAGCTTTCTCAACAAAATAAGATAATAAAACCATGTGCTATCTAGGCTCATAGCTAAGAACAAAATAAGGTGATTCATCAGTGCTGTTTTTCAGTGCTTTGTCTGTAGTATTTCAATTGCAATCAAGGCAGGCATTAAATTTCTAGAACCTTTGCTTTGGCGCTGGAGCAGCGACAGGATTGCACACCTAGGATCATCCATTTGACTGAACATTATGTACTGCAAGGGGCAAGGAAAACCAAGCCTATCTCACAGAAAACCAGGTGCTTCTTTACACTGTAGAAGAACGGACAACAGAAGAGTACTTGCTAATTAAATGGCAGTCTAGTGTCCTGCAGGAATAATGAGCAGTAGAAGTCAGGGATAGGCAATTTGTGCCTCTCCAGAACTGAACTCCCATCAACCATTGACTATGGTGGCTAGAGCTGATGGGACTTCCAATCCAGCAACGTCTGGAGGACCTCAAGTTATCCACTGCTGATATAAGTGTCATGTCCAGTTCTTATTTATATGAGTGCTTCCCCTTTTTGCTTTCTGATTGTTAAGAAAGATTACAGTTAGTTACTTCATTGCCATTATTCTTTCAAAGGGGCTTTATTTCATCATTTTCAGTTTAGCCCACCCTTTAGTCCACATTAAGCCTTTTGGTTCTTCTTTGTTTCCTTTGGACATTTTGGACGCTTTGCTCAGAGTCTCTGGGCCGATCTGCCTTTATTTATATGTTTATTTCTGTTATCCGTTGTGCTTGGCTCTGCTGTCACGGCGAGGGGCGGGCGCAGGTAAGATGGTTGGTGAGCAGAGAACAAAAACCAATCCAATCCAGCGGATGGCCCTGCCCAGCTCGCTGGCCTTTCTCTCCAGTGTCTGTGGTGTGACCCCTTTGTTGTTACGCTGGTGGCACTCTGGGGTTTGTGAATCTGGAAAGTTTGGAATGAAGCTGCACCTAAAAAGACAGGCACACATGCAAGCAGTACAAGTCATAGCCAAGCAACAGGAGGAGAGAAAAAAGAGATACCATCTCATACACAACTATGTGCATGCGATGAACACTCATAGTACACAGACTGTATGGTAAGGAGACACCTCACTATGAAACAAAATGACACTGCAATATTTTGTATCCTTCCACAAGACAAACAGCAGTTCTAAGGGGGGGGGGGGATGTAGGTTCAGGAGTTTAGTGAGAATTGCATTTGGGAATGAATGAATCTTGCTCCTTGTGCAGGGTTCCATACATATCCTTTAGTTACCTTTTTTAAAAAAAGGAAAATAGGAACATGGTCCGAAAATACCATGCAAAAAAAAATCCCTGGTAGTTGTGTGTTGTGAAGATATTTTCAGGTATTTTTGCTTATTTTTGTTTTTGTGTGATGAATTCAGAGTGCAAATTTTGATTGTTTTGTTAAAAACTTGACATTATGCTCAATTTCCTTTGACCAGAAGCTGGCAACTTTAAGTACCTCTGATGTCGTTGTAAAAGGCACTGTAAGAGGCAATCTGGCAGGGCTCAGATTGCATTGTAGTAAGTGGTCTGTGGTTTGCTCTTCTCCACACTTACATGTCATGGACCCAAAGACTGGCTCTGCATCTCGTGGTACCAGAGCACAGTCTGTTCAGTGCCTTCCAAGTGGCCCGTCTTCTGTGTGAGTAGGAGGGAGTTTATCAGCTGGAATGAGCCATGGATTGAGGTTCCAAGTTTTAGCCTGCCACTTTTGGACTCTCACTTGCTGAGGTGTTCCTGCAAGTATCTCTGTAGATCTTGGGAAGCTGTTTCTTGATTTAAGTTGTTTGCATGCTGGCTGATATCCTAACAGAGGATGGGCGGGATATGTCCATGCCTTGGTCCTTTCATTGCTGGCTGCTACTTCCCAGCGGGTATCAGGTGGTGCATTACTGTTAGTTAACCTAACTAAAAAAGCAGTTTCCATTGTGTAACATAGTCAGCACTGCAGAGTTCTGAGTGTTCTTTTCTAATGAAAAATTACAAACTATTCCAGTTTTCTCTTCCCTCTTTGACCCAGTTTCCACATCAAGATTTAGCTTCTCAATTCACATCCTTTAAAAAAATCTGCGCATGCCTTGTATCTTTGGCTTTAGTGTTTAGTATTTGGTTGTCGTTTCATAACAATGCCACAATGACCTTTACTTTGTCCCTGCTGAACAAGTATTTTTATTCCTCTTAAAAGAATGTTTTCCTCAGGAGCAATGCTGCCATTTTGTTTGCTGGCATTCTGAGTTACAGTTGCTGACCTGAATTGGCTAGGGTTGATGGGACTTGCAATGCAACATCTGGAGGGCACATGCTTCCCAAACCTGGCCTAGAAGTCCTTCCCTTGCACTCTCTTCTACCTTGATCACTCAAGCTCACGTTCCATGATATTTTATTCAATAGCAGGAGTGGGCAGTTTGAAGTCTCGCTGGCTGCATTTGAAGTCTGTGGAAGGGTAGAGGGTATTTTGCTCCCTCAGTGCAGAACAGCTGTTGATCTTCTCACCACTTTGGAGCTGTGTGACTGTAGTCAGTGTCAGGACAATGTCTTAGATAAGGAATTCACACACAGGTCCCTGCAAAGTGCTTGCCACATTCCCTCTCTTTGAAAGTTTGTGCCTTTGAGTGAGGGCATCTGGAAGAAAGTTTGGACTGCCCACCAACCTTTGCCAGCACTGCTCAATGATGTTCAGTCTGCTTTCCCTTTACCTCTTTGTGGCCCAGTGTGAAAAATGTAGTTTGACTCTAGGATGTCAAATTAATCATTCAACTTCTAGAATGTTTACAAAAATGGAGCCCCCAGTGGCACAATGGGTTAAACCCTTGTGTTGGCAGGACTGCTGGCCAAAAGGTCGGCTGTTCAAACCCAGGGAGCGGGGTGAGCTCCTGAGTGTCAGCTCCAGCTTTTCATACAGGGACATGAGAGAAGCCTTCCACAGGATGGTAAAACATCCCAGCATCCCCTGGGCAACATCCTTGCGGATGGACAGTTCTCTCACACCAGAAGCAACTTGCAGTTTCTCAGGTCACTCCTGTCACAACCCCCCCCCCCCCCGATAAAAACAGCATCTACTTATTACGTTAAAAGTTTCAAAAATGAGAAGTGGAAAGGGTACTGAGAAGTGGAAAGGGCAGAAGGGAATCCTTCCGCCACAACCAATGAATGACGTTTGAGGTAGGCAGCACCTGAGTAAATGGCCACTTAACATGTTTCCAACTCACAAAGTATAAAGAGGGAGATGAGAACCAGGGGATCACTCTCCATTTATTTCTGATAGATAAGTCAGCTTGACCAAATGGACAGAGTCGGTTATTCTGAAATGGCAATCAGGTATACTGGATCCTTGACAAAATAAGCCTTTTACACTCAAACATTCTCCATAGAGATCTCCAGAGACAAATTTTAAACCAGTTAGCAAATCTACCTGTATAATTGCAAATGTGCAGAACTTACATCTATTTTACCTTTTTCTTTTTTGCATTTTTCTAAATGAGCAACAGTAACAAGTGGAACCAGTAAGAGGAGAAGGGTTCCAATTGTTTTTCTTAGTTTCATGTATGAAGACAGAAAATACAGATCAGAGATCGTGAAAATCTAAACAGGACCAGCCATGTTCTCCCTCAGACTCATTCACTTACTAGTTAGGTATAAAGATCAAGTGGGAGGGAGGCAAGCCATGTCATCGTCATCATTGTAAGCAATCCCACCTTGTCAGAAGATATACAGGATGACTATCTACCAAACTACACTAGTTCTCAGTCCATGCTGGCCTAGGTTGGAAAACGGACACACTCCTTCCAGCTTATCCACATCTGCCTGGACTGGGAACATGCACAGAGAGGTCCTTAGCATCACTCCCCACAAGGCTTGTACAGAAAGTATTGGGAATTAAGGGTTAATCGGATCCTGTTGAGCCCCTTCTCAAGTCTGTTGTTGACTTTGCCTGTTCAGGAGGCTTTTCTTTCCATAATAAATACAAGCGCCAGGCTGTTTTACTATTTAGCATTACTTATGAAATTCATACGGAGAAGCATAGGGAGCGGGCCTTGTTCCGTGGGCCACCTTCCTCTCCCTGGGAAATCTCGGGGCCACTAGAGAGTGCAGTAGCTGAGGCCACACTCCAGTGGGGGTGTCAGAAGAGTTAGGAGAGCGTGCCTTTGAGGGTGGAAGGAGCCCCAAGGCAGGGGAAGGAGAGGCCACCCCACTTCTGAGGGGCAGGGCAGGGCAGCCGCTGAGAGTTCGGCTCTGTTCCAAACTTCTCCAGACCCAGTGCTCTCCCCCATCTTTCCTTGCTAGACCCCCCAGTGCCCCCCACCCTCCCCTCCCCTCCCCCGAAATCCTGCCCCTCTCTCTGCCCCAGCCTACCCTTCCCTTTCCCAATTCCAGAGTTTTATTTGGTTTCCCCCTGATCCACGTCGGTATGGCCCATGCTTTGCAAATCCCCTCCTGCCCTTCCTTTTGAACTCTTTCTGTTATTTGACTAGATTGATTTGTGGTCCGTCCGTCCCACCCTCCCCCTTCCCTCCCCTCCCCCTCCCCTTGTTTTGTTTGCTTTCCTTTATTTTTTGGAAGCGTGCGAGGATTTTTTAAAAGCTTTTCGCTGCCTTTTTGAACCCTGGAACTTACAAAAATTCCATTTCTCATTTCTCTTTTTTTGTTGTTGTTTTTGTTTCGTTTTGTTTGGCTTCTTTGTGTTGGATTTCCTCCCCACCCCCCACCCCCGCACCCCAATGGCCATTTATGACGTCCTGCCCTCCTCGTTCTCTTTGTCCTTCGTCGTCCGTCCCCCCGTCCCCCCCTACCCACCCGTCCCACTTGCCCCGGTGTGGCTGTCGCTTGACTTCTCTCCTTCTCCATCCGCGCCTGTCATTCCTCCTCCTCCTCCTCCCCTCTCCCCCTCCCACCTGCCTCCCCTCTCGTCTCGCTCTCTTCTCTCTCTCTCTCTCTGTCTCTCTGTCTCTCTTCTCGGTCGACTTCCCTGGGGCCTTTTTTTCTTTTTGATTTCCTTTGTTTCGATTTTCGTGTAGGGCAGTAGTTCCGTCAGCGGGAGCCCGGTCCTCTCCACGTCCGGCACCAGCACCCCGAGGCGAGGGCGCCGACAGCTCCCGCAGACCCCTTCCACGCCCCGGCCCCACGTCTCCTACTCGCCCGTGGTCCGGAAGGGGCCCCTCGGCGCCGGCACCGCGGCCCAGCTCCAGCAGCAGCAGCAGCAGCAGCAGCAAGCGGCCCAGCTCCAGCAGCTCCAGCAGCAGCAGGCTCCTCCGCCGCCGCCCTCGGGCCGCACGGGGAGCCCCTCGGCGCGGCGCTACCCGGCCGAGCCCCACCACCACCACCACCACCACGCCCACGCCGCCCACCACCACGCGCCGCCCGGGGTCTCGGAGCGACGGAGCCGCTCGCCGGCCCTTGAGCGCCACACCGTCCCGCCCAGGAACGACTCCCCGCGCCGCGCTTACCGGCACGCCAGCAGCCGGTGGTCGGCCCCGCACGTCCCCGCCGCAGAGCCCCACGCGGGGCCCCGACACGGAGGAGGAGGAGGAAGCGGCGGCGGCGGCTACTACAGGAGCCCGGACTACGCCGGGGAGGACGCCTTCCCTTACGAGCACGGCGGTGGTGGTGGCGGCGGCGGCGGCGGCGGGCGGGCGCCCAGGACTTCCCGGGCGGCAGGAGGAGGAGGAGGAGGAGGCGGCGGAGGGGGTTCCCCGTCGGTGTCCCCGTCTCGCCACGGGCGGCGCCTGCCCAATGGCTACTACCCCTCGCACCACGGACCCGCCAAGGCGCGCGGGAGCGGCGCCTCCCGCAAAGGACTGCACGAACCTTCCTACAGCGAAACGGACGAGGACGACTGCTGCTAACTGACCTCGAGGAAGGGGGGAGAGGGGGGGAGAGGGGGAGAGGAGGGGCCCACCTCCCCCACCACCACCACCACCACCACCACCACCACACGCGCGCGCGCAAGACACACCCACACACACACGCACAGGAGACAGACACACACACCACTCTCTCTCTCTCTCTCAACGGGACAGGCCCAGGCTCAAGGAGGAGGAGGACCCGCGCAAGGAAGGAAGGAAGGAAGAGGATTGCCCTGCTGTGGTGGGAATGGGAAGAAACTCTTCACCTTTGGTTTGTTGGTTTGTTTGTTGGGGCGGGGCCTGAGCGTGCCTTGCCTTCTATGGGGAGGGGAGGGGAGGGGCGCCCCTCGGAACCCGCCAAAGGGAGGGGCGCCCAGGTGTGGATGGATAGGTGGGCGGATGGACGGACGGGGAGGGGGGGGGTGGCACAGCCTCGGAGGGAGGGAGGGAGGAACCACGTGACCCAGGGAAAGGGCGGCAAGCAGGGAGCAGGCTGTTGACCAGGGTGGGAAAAAGTCAAAACGAAGTCTTTTTTAAAAAAATGTTAAAACAAACAAAAAAAAAGACCAACAAATTAATAGTATTTTTTTCCTTGGGCTTCTATTGATGAGTTTTATCATCTCAATTTAGCTGGTCAACTTTCAAAACAAAAAAAAGTTTTTTAAAAAGTTTGTGGCCTGAAGTTTCCAGAGGGAGGACACGCACGCAGACAGACACGTCCCACCAGACACACTGCACACACACCCACACACACAGACAGACAGAGACGCGCGCGCTCACACTGACACACACACACACACACACAAAAGAGTGCTTGCTGGTTATACCAAACCCTAATATTACTGCCTGCAGAAATAAGAGAAAAAAAGAAACAATAAAACTAAACAGAAAAAAACAAAAAAGGACAAAAACAATTGATAAAAAAATGAAGCATTTTCTTCCAACATTTTGGTCCTGCTTGAAAAAGATAAAAAAAGAAATCACATCAGAAAAATTAATAACTCCTCAGCTTCTTTATTTTTTTTCCTACTTGTTTGAAAAAAAAATTGAAAAAAAACCTGTGGGATTGGGACTGTGAAATATTGCATGAAACCAAGTAAAAAGACAAATGATGAAAAAAAATTAAAAAAGCAAAAAAACAAAAATATTAAAAAATGAATTTTTGATTGACATGCCTTTCACTGTTAAATTTCTTATGCTTTGCTCTGGTGCTCCCTTTCCCTTCCTGCCACAATACGAGAATGCATGAATGGAAATGTATAGCTTGGCCTGGTTGATAAGAAGTGTTGCTGTCTGTCACTTTCTGAGGTGAAGAATATGAACAACAGATTCCTAAGCAGAAGTTGGTCAACAAGAACTGGGTGGAGGAATTCTTTTTTTATACAAATACACTACTCATTACCAAATGCACACATCTCTGGCGATCGACAACAAAATCACTTGCCTAACCATCCATCCAGACCAGTGGTTCCCAACCAGTGGTCCACAAGAACTGAAATATGGTCCGTGGCCTCACCAAGAGCATCTGGTCTTGCAAAACCCTCTTATCGTGCCAAGGCTTATTAAATATGGTTTTCTGAGGGCAAGCAGATGGAGACTACTGGGTGGCATATGTTCTGTATCAGAAACTAGAGCTGAGGTGGTCTATCCAATGCAATTTTCTGAATCAGCACCCTGAATAACCAAACCAAATCTAAAGTTGACCAAAGGCTGATTCATAACCCTTTTGGTACTAATGTTGGAGAGTGGTCCCTGGTCAAAGTGGTCCCTGGTCAAAAAAAAAAAAAGGTTGGGAACCACTGATCAAGGCAAATGCCAAAGAAGCTACTAAATATACAAGGCAGCTATTGTTAGCTTCACTCTTAACTACTGACCCGGCTACTAGAAATGCTGCAAGATGGAAAATGGAATTCACTAATCTGTATACAGTCTTTAAAAGCGATAACATGTATGTATGTTTGTTCTTCGAAGTCTCCTGGATGGCTTGATGGGGCTGGGGCAAACTTGGTACACATACCCTTCATTATCCAACTTAAAATACTGGAGAGGTTTAAACTAAAAAAAAACACCTGTTTGTTGCCTTATTTTTAAAGCTGGCCCATGAGCCTCATGCTGCAGCACTCAGAGGCAACCACAAGATAGGCTACCTCGGAGGAATGACCTGGCGTAGGCATGGGCAAACTTCAGCCCATAATTTCCAACAGCCTCAGGCCTCTTCCTTTGCTTTTCCTTTTCCACTTAAGCAGCTGGGGGGTGGGGGGGTGGTGGTGCCTGAGGCTGTTAGGAATGGTGGGAGTTGGAGTCCAAAACACCTAGAGGGCTGAAGTTTGCCAATGCCCAACCTAGAGTGTCAGCAGGAGACACTAGGAGGTCCAGGGCATTGACATGGAGACATCCTCAGGGAGGCCTCAAAGGGCCAGGCAAAGATGGGAGCGAACTGGAGAAGGAAGTCCTTAAGATTACAAAACCTGGGTAATTAATTCTAACAGAATCCTATATTCCAAGCAGTGTATTTTTTATGAATGGAGAAAAGAATTAACCTGAGTTCATCAGTGCTGTGAAGCTGAGTACTGACACTTTTATAAAACATTAGCTTATGTTACTTGGCATTACCCCGTGTGTGTTTTCTAATGGGACCCCTCACATCATAATACAACTAACAATGAATATTTCTAATAAATAGCATTAGAAAATGCATACCCAGGCAACGCTAGAACATGACAGTATGGCCACCAAAGCTGTTGGCCCATAAAAAATTTATATAACAAGTGGCATATATATCTCTTTCTCTCTCTCCCTCTCTCTCTCTCTATATATATATATGCACATACATACACATATTTCCTCACGAATTTAATGATAGAATACCATCTAGAAGGCAACTGAATTTGGGCAGCTATTTCATTTCCATGTGTTATCAGAGGATCTCTTCATAAATTATGTGTTGATGCTTGTTAGTATACATATACTCGCCTCTGTGCAGGCCCGTAGCCAGGATTTTGTTTCGGGGGGGGGGGGGGCTGAGTCTGAGTGAAAGAGGGTCTACCCTAGCAAACCTTTTGTATCATTACCTCAATACCCCCATGCATATGGGATATATTGAGCATAGTGATTGTAGGTTTTAAATAACATTTTCTCCAGCAAAGGATCACCGCCTTGTCGGGGCGCTGGAGCTTGAGCACCTCAATGATGTCATGAGCGAAACCGTGAAGGGCCACCCAAGACGGGACGGTCGTGGCAGAGAGGTCAGACCAAGCGTGATCCCTGGGGAAGGCAATGGCAAACCACTCCAGTATCCTTGCCAAGAAAACTAAATGGACCAGTACAACCAGAGATATGTCGGTATGCCATTGGAAGATGGGACTCCCAGGTCGGAAGATGGCCAAAATGCTACTGGGGATGAGCAGAGGATAAGTTCAACTAGCCCCAGATGTGATGACGCAGCTAGCTCAAAGCCGAAAGGAAGGCTAGCGGCCGACGGTACTGGAGGTGAACGACGAATCCGATGCTCTAAAGATCAACACACCATAGGAACCTGGAATGTAAGATCTATGAGCCAGGGCAAATTGGATGTTGTTATTGGTGAGATGTCAAGACTAAAGATAGACATTCTGGGGGTCAGCGAACTGAAATGGACTGGAATGGGCCACTTCACATCAGATGACCACCAGATCTACTACTGCGGACAAGAGGAACATCAAAGAAATGGAGTAGCCTTCATAATTAATAAGAAATTCGCTAAAGCAGTGCTTGGATACAACCCAAAAAATGACAGAATGATCTCAATTTGAGTGCAAGGAAAGCCTTTCAACATTACAGTGATCCAAATATACGCCCCAACCACAGCTGCTGAAGAAGCAGAAGTAGATCAGTTCTATGAGGATCTGCAGAACTACTGGATAATACACCAAAAAGAGACATTATTTTCATTACAGGAGACTGGAATGCCAAGGTGGGAAGTCAAATGACAACTGGGATCACAGGCAAGCATGGTCTGGGACAACAAAATGAAGCTGGACGTAGGCTGATGGAATTTTGCCAGGAAAACTCACTGTGTATAACAAACACTCTCTTTCAACAACCTAAAAGACGGCTTTGTACATGGACTTCACCAGTTGGTCAACACCGAAATCAGACTGACTACATCCTTTGCAGCCAAAGGTGGCGGACATTCATCCACTCAGTGAAAACAAGACCTGGGGCTGACTGCCGTCCAGATCCAAACTTCTTATTGCACAATTTAGAATAAAACTAAAGAGATCAGGGAAAATACACAGACCAGTTAGATATGATCTCACTAACATTCCTAGCGAATATACAGTGGAAGTGAAGAACAGATTTGAAGGACTAGATTTAGTAAACAGAGTCTCAGAAGAACTATGGACAGAAGTCCGAGACATTGTTCAGGAGGCGGCAACAAATTACGTCCCAAAGAAAAAGAAAACCAAGAAGGCAAAATGGTTGTCTGCTGAGACACTGGAAGTAGCCCAAGAAAGGAGGAAAGCAAAAGGAAACAGGGATAAGGGGAGATATGCCCAGTTAAATGCGCAATTCCAGAGGTTGGCCAGAAGAGATAAGGAACTATTTTTAAATAAGCAATGCATGGAAGTGGAAGAAGACAACAGAATAGGAAGGACAAGAGACCTCTTCCAGAAAATTAGAAACATTGGAGGTAAATTTCAGGCAAAAATTGGTATGATAAGAAACAAAGATGGCAAGGACCTAACAGAAGCTGAAGAGATCAAGAGAAGGTGGCGAGACTATACAGAAGTTCTGTATAGGAAGGATAATAATATTGAGGATAGTTTTGACGGTGTGGTGAATGAATTAGAACCAGACATCCTGAGGAGTGAGGTTGAATGGGCCTTAAGAAGCATTGCTAACAACAAGGCAGCAGGAGACGACGGGATCCCAGCTGAACTGTTTAAAATCTTAAAAGATGATGCTGTCAAGGTGATGCATGCCATTTGCCAGCACATATGGAAAACACAAGAATGGCC